GCTGGAGCGTCTAATACGACATCTCCAAAGACAGCTGGGCGGGGATGGTGGTGGCACTGACGCTGGGCCTGGGCCACAGCAGTGCCCTGTGGCTGACCGAGCACTGTGGAGGGCGCTTGCCTGTGAAGCTATGTGTGCCGGAAGTCACGTCTGTGTGTCCCCAGCACGGGGGCAGCCGGTGCTTGGGCTCCGCTCAGCCAGCCTTGGGCTAGAGCCTGCCTCCACCACTGCCTGGCTGTGTGGACACTTTGCTTTACCTGTCAGTTTCTTCTTCTGTAACATGGGATCATCACAGCACTTTAGGATTTCTGGGAGGAGCAAATGAGCTAATCTCTATAAAACACCCAGCAACGGCACCTGGCACCTAGAGTGTCGCGTAGAATCAGGACAACCTCCATCACAATGACCTCTTCACATGCCACATGCTTTACATGCATCATCTCACTCAGTCCACACGGCCGAGACCAGGTAGGCACTGTTATCATTCCCGTTTTGCAGATCAATAGCCTGAGGCTTGGGGTGGTTGAAGTCTCTTGTTCAAGGTCAAGTGTGGTGGTCAGCATTGGAACCCACCCTCTGACTCCAGCACTCCAGGCTCGCTCCCTCTGTCCTGCTGCTGTCTCCCTGTGCAGAGATGGTCTTCTCTGGGCTTTCTGAGGGGCTGGCTGATGTCATCTTGGAGGGTGGAGAAAGCAAGCAGGCAGGCCACAAAGACCCCCCGATGAGGGATGTGCTCCACATCCATCTTCTGGCTCGGGCTGGAGCTCATCTGCAGGGTCCCCTTAACTCTATCAAGACTCAGTAGGACCTAGAAGCCTTCTGTCCTGTCACGAGGATGGACACAGAGTTTGCACTCTTGCCTCAGTTCAAGGGGCCTAAAGCATCAAGAGGTGCCTCTCATTTGCTTGGCTTTTTATGAAGACTCCATGATAGACACAGCTAGTTTTTTTTTTTTTTTTAAGATTTTATTTTTTCCTTTTTCTCCCCAAAGCCCCCCAGTACATAGTTGTATATTCTTCGTTGTGGGTTCTTCTAGTTGTGGCATGTGGGACGCTGGCTCAGCGTGGTCTGATGAGCAGTGCCATGTCCGCGCCCAGGATTCGAACCAACGAAACACTGGGCCGCCTGCAGCGGAGCGCGCGAACTTAACCACTCGGCCACGGGGCCAGCCCCAAGACACAGCTAGTTTTGATAGGACAACGCTTAACGTGAGGTTCTAAAACTGCGCATATTAATGTGGTCCCAAGTGGCCAAAATCCAGGAATAATGTCTAGGGAAGGTTAAATTAGAGACGAGGTCATAGGTCTTGGGGGGGTGCTTTGAAGAGCTTGGGAGATGGGCAGAGGGTCTCAGCCAGAGATTGAACCTGACGCTTCTCAGCTGTGTCATCTGGGGTAAATCGTTTCACGTCTCTGAGCCTGTTTCTCCATCCATCCACCCACCCACCCATCCATCCATCCATCCATCTACCCACTACCCATCTATGTATCCATCCACCCACAAACCAACCCATCCAGCCACATAGCTATCCATCCACCTATCCATCCATCCATCCACCCACCTACCCACCCACCCACCCACCCATCCATCCATCCATTCATCCATCCATCCACCCAACCCATCCATCCACCCAACCCATCCATCCACCCATCCACACTTCTCTCCATTTGCCCGTCCATCCATCGACCCCCTCCATGTATCTATCCACCTACCCACAAACCCACCCACCCACCAATCAATCTGTCCATCCATCTATCCATCCACTCAATAAGCATTCCTGGAGCACGTAGTAAGTCAAGAACTGTACCAGATGCTGGGCCCATAAGTGACATTGCTGTGAAAACAACCTACACAATCTGATAGAAAACTAAACTATGGACCTTCACAAGGGAACACTGTGGGCTGTGAACATGAATGAGGCGTGTCTACGGGAAGTGATGTGGAGTGACCCTCGGAAATATGGTTAAGAGGAAAATAAAAAGATACAGAAGTATGTGAAGTATGTTACCAGTTATGTAAAAAACAAAAAAGGGACGGTCTCTTTAAACACATGTATGCTTGGATATGCCGAGAAAATTTCTGGAAGGACACCCAAGAAACGAGTCTCAGTGAGTGTCCCCGAGGAGGGAGACTGGGGAATTAGCAGGGGTGGCAAGGAAACTTACAAAGCACTCTGTTCCATTTCAGGCTGTTTGAGTTTTTTTTAATAGTGCATTATGCGTTTATAATTGAAAGAAAAATTTATAGAAAAAAAGAAGATTCAATCTCTGGGTAATAATATAGAAAGACAAGAAAACAGCAAATTACAATGCTGTCATGATACGTATGTGATTAGGGAAATACAGGGGGCTGTGGGAGCAGAGGGGGCACCTAGCTCAGCTCGGGGGAATCAGGGATGGCTTCCCAGAGGAGGTGATGCCTGAGATGAGGCTCCCAGGCTGAGTGGAGGGTAAAGGAAGATGCCTGGCAAGGGCATTCCCAGCAGGAGGAACAGCATGCGCAAAGGCCCGAAGGGAAGTTCGGTATGGCTGGAGCAAAGCGATCCATGTGGTAGGAAGTTTGGAAACTTGTCTGAAGGGCAGTGGGGAGCCATGGACAGGTTTTAAGAAGAGGAGTGACAGAGTCAGAGTTTTGTTTAGAAAGACCCCTCCAGCAGCCACGTGGGGAATGGATCCCAACAGTGAGGCTGGAGGCAGGGGGACTAATGGGGAGGCCTAGGCCAAGGCAGAGGTGGGGAGTGGGGGGTGCCGGCAGAGAGGAAGGGGTTCAAGAGCTCTTTTGGGGATGGGAAGTGACACCTTCTCACAGGACTGTGAGTGTTCACTGAAATAATTCTAGCAAATGGCTTTGCAAGGTGCAGTGTTCTCCCTGTGGGTGTTGGAAACTCCCGGGGACCTTTAATAAAACACCAGTGCCCAAGGCCCCACCCCCAGGGCACCAGATTTAATTGGGTGTCAGGGGTAAATTGGGCTCCCGGATGACTCTGATGCACAGCCAGGGTGAGGGCTGCAGTACTTGGTGGCGAGGTGGCCAAATGAACGACTGGGGCTCATCCTGCGTTGGTTTGCCTTCTTCATGCGAATGCTGAAGGCACAGGCGAGCCTCGACGTGGTTAGCATCCTTGTGCGTTCTGCCAGAAAGAAACGAGGCAGGAGAAGCATGAACTTTGGGCTCACCCAGCCTGAGCTAGCTGGCTTGAGTCCATTGACCTCTTGAGCCAGTTTCCTTGTTTGAAAGAATGGCCACCTGGGTGGCTTATCGCGAGAATTAATGAGATTATAAATAGAAGAGCCGGCATGGAGCGCTGGTGCTCCATGGACCCTGGCAACTGACATGCGGAGTCTCCCGAGAAGAGTTAGATGCTAAGACCCGCTTGGAGATGCAAAAATCTCCAGATTTAAGCTCACTGAAGGGTACACGATGCCCTCGTGTGGTTCAAACTAGATTTGGCTGGGAAAAGGAGTATCTTTAATGTAAGTTAAAAAAAAAAACAAACATGCATTTCTTTTAGCTGTACAACCACATATTTTGGGGTTTGGGCTATTCTGGTAATGTTGCTGTGGCTGCTTACGAGCAGCTTCTGATGTGTAGAGGTCAGCTTCAACTCTCAGAGGATGTCAACCAGGACAACCATGTCTCATTTTAAAAATCACAAGGAAAAGTGGTGGCGAATTGCAGTGTTGCCACATATAATAAAGAAAGGAAAGAGACAAGCCCAGTCTAGAGGACTGTGAATTAAATAGCAGAACATGCCACACAGGACAGTCTGACATGGTTCCACCCGGCACCTCTAATTTGAGATTCTTATAAAGGCCTTGCTCTGGGGCCTTGTCCACAGGCGGTGGAGGGAATGCCTTTGAAGTTCTGTGCCCTTCACAGAACCCACAGGACTTTTAATTTTTTAAACAGGGGAGGTATATTTAAGAGAAGAGGCAGGGCCGGCCCATGGCCGAGTGGTTAAGTTCACATGCTCTGCTTCGCTGGCCCAGGGTTTTGCCGATTTGGATCCTGGGTGCAGTCCTAGCACTGCTCATCAGGCCACGCTGAGGTGGAGTCCCACATGCCACAGCTAGGACCTACAACTAGGATATGCAACTATCTACTGGGGCTTCGGGGAGGAAAAAAATAAATAAGAAAAAATAAAAAAGGATTGCATTTAAAAAAAAAAGGCAGCCAGCCTATGCCTGAACCAAAACACCACTATCACAAAAGATAACACATCTCACTTTTGAAGAGTTGAAGATTTGAGACTGTTAGCCAGTATTTCAAGATCATGTTTTCAGTAAAAATTTGGGCCTCCTTTGGTGGGATTTTAGCTGGTGGCTGACAGTAGGGACCTCAGAACCCTGCCTGGCAACCCTGAGGGCAGGTCGGGGCAGGAGGGAGAAACTGGAAGGTCTGTGTTTGTGCTGGAGGGAGGGTGGTGTTTTAAACAACTTTAGCTCACTGTACACGTTCCGACAGTTCAGAATGGACTACTTAGGTGTCACACCGGCGCATGACAGAGAACGGACAAAGGAAGTTTCTTCCCTGTGGCTTAGCTCGTCCACCACCGCACAAAACCAGCCAGGAGGTGGTCCAAGTCAGGGGCATTGGAATCAGCTGCCCGACCCAAAGCGGAGCCCGGGGTCTGGAAATCTCCTTTACACTCGTTCCCCAGGTGTGCTTTACATGGCCAGGCCACAGCTTCAGGGTACCGTCTGACCAGCCTTTCTCAGATTCCAGGGTTTCACAAACCAGTGAAATTACTTGTGAGCTGTCAATCTGTTATCTTGCAAAGAGCAACAAACAGTGATGGCTATCTGCTTCTCCTTCCCCTTGTTTCCTAAGACATCGCGGATGTTTGGCTTTGTAGAAGTCTCCAGACACGGTCTTTACCGCCCCGTTTGCTTGGGAAGGGGCGTACGCCATCATGGTCTGGCATCTGGGAAGCCCAAGGGGCTCTGGCAGCACGCTGGGGTGAGGGAGGGGTCCAAGAGACAAGGCTTACCAGAGAAAAACATTGTCTTGTATGCTTTTATTTACTGTATATATGCAGATCTGTCTTATGTACAATACTCTATTACTCTATCAAGTAATCATACCAAGGCATTCTCTTGATAATCTTCCCAAAATAGATTCAGGTAAAATAGGTATCTGTGCACTTCATGGACTAGCAAAACTTGAGACTTCATTGATTCCAGTTTGGAGGCCATATACACAATTCAAAATATACATACACTGGGTTAAGGCTGTAAGAGTGGGTTGAAAGAAACCACAGGATCCGGAACAGTTAAACTGTGTATTTCGCTTGCGTCAGAGCCACAACGCGAACGCAAATGCTGTGCGCATCTCACAGCTGTCTGCTGTAGTGCGGGGCCTTCTGAACAGACACGGAGGCTGCCCGGGCTGCGCAGACAGCCGACACGACTCGTTGGAGGCTGCGCCGAGGGCTCATTTCTTCTCCGCCTCGCCTTTCTTGGGTTCTTGTTTCAGCTTGTAATCAGCCAGGGCAGCCTTGATTGCATCTTCAGCCAGCACTGGAAGTAAGGGAAGAAAGAGAGCCTAAGTTCTAGAATCTAAAGTCTTTGGAACAGAATCTTTAAGAGCTGGAGCGCAGCAGCTAGGGAGGGCTTCACCGAGTCGCCGAGCCAGGATGGGGGCGTGAGGAGTAGGCCGGAAAGCCAGCCTGCTGGTCCTGAGCACGCCACTCCTGCCTGCTGCCTCTGGAGACAGGCTGGGGGTAGATCCCTGGGATTCTCGGTTCGTTCCTTAGCCTCCTGGAATCTACTTTCTCTTCTGTAAAACTGGGACAACGTGTGAGGACTTACAGAGTGGGTCTGACACACAGTAGGGCTACAACTGTTAGTTCTCATGTGCCCACATGGCAGTCTGGAATAAATCCAGGAGATGCTGGTTAAGATAGCCGGCACAATTTAGGTAGAAGGGATGGCGTCTGCCACATTGCTCTCTAGTGATCGTGAGTTTGAAAACTTTTATTTAGGAGTTGATATGAAAAGTGAGGCTCTGAGGGAAAATATAAATGGAGAGAACTGGAATGCCAGGAGAAAGCAAGCAAACAGCAGAGAGCCTTAGCTACGGGCCTCAGTCCCCGAGGAGGCCCAAGGAGGAGGCTGGGGCTTTCCTGAAGCCGTGTGGAAATGTTTACAAACTGCAGCCTTTACTCAAGGGTCCTTGAAATTCCAGTCAAGGGGCAAGAACTCGGGGCTGAGCAGACTTCCTGAAGACTGCGGCAGCGTGTCTCCGCCCCGGCACTCAGCTCTCCTCCTGAGTCTTACCCCAGCAAGGGGCCTGGCTCTCGGCTCATTTTTAACTAATTTGGTCAGTAAACCTCTATCACTAAGTTAAGCCTGCTGTTTCTCATTTCTTCCCTTCCCAAGAAGGTTGAGAGAAGATGGAAAAACCTTTCGATTTAAGACAGAGCCGGAAGTGGAGAGCCAAGTGCCGGTCTTCCGGCATCTGAGCTCGCCCTTAGGACAGCGGAGGGGACACAGCACAACCCGGCTTAGTCATTCCACACGCGCAGATGCACTCCGACAGACCAGCATCTAGCCAGGAAGGGATGCAGTGCACACCGAATGGGATTACGGCCAAAGCTGTTTTCTCCTCTGCTGACCCTAACTTTACCACCGTGACGTGGGAACAGCACGGACTTTGGAATCAAAGATTGGGGCTTAGGTTCCGGCTCTCCCACTGAGGAGCCGTGTGACTGGGGTGCTTCCACCCGAGTCCCCGTCTCCTCGTGTGTGAGAGGGGGAGGTAATGACACCTTCTGTGGCCCGGAGGCATCTTGGAGGTTTACAAATGATGCTATGAAGTGCTCAGCAAGGCGCCTGGCACACACTGCCTCCTGGAAAACTGTCCTGGAGACGGCTGAGACCATGGGGCTCAACGCTCTGACAGTCACAAAGACGGACTCTGCAAGCTCTGACCCTGCAGGGTTATAAAGACGGGTGCCATGACATAAAAGGACCTGTCATCACTGTCAGAAGTCCAGCTTGATGCCATTACAAAAGGACTCCCAACTCTCCCAGCTCCTGGCATTCCGGGGGGCAGACTTACTGGAGCAGTGCAGTTTCACAGGAGGAAGGCAGAGTTCCTTGGCGATGTCCGTGTTTTTGATGGTCAAGGCTTCCTCCACCTGGGAGGCATACAGGAAAGACGAGTGGCTTTAGTGAGGCTCTATGCGGAGGGACAGACAGTAAGAAAGGAAGGCCAAGGAGGCCCCAGCACGGGGTTGGGGATGGTTTCCACTGAGTAAGCCCAAACAAAGGACCCGTGCCTGTACAGCAGGGCTGCAGCTGGGACTCTCAGGTGTGAAGACACACTGGCACCGCGTGGCTGGGGCGAGCAGGGCCAGCAAAGCCACCTCTGTAAGCCAGAGTGGACTGTGAGGATCTCTTAGGGCTCTGCTAGAGGCCAGCAACATGAGTCTTTTTTTTAAAAAAGGCAGTGATTTCCGTGCTGATTGTGTGACCCTCAGCTTCCCTGATGCCCTTGTACCAAACTTTTCTGAGATGAGCTGAGTGGTGTCGGGGATGGGAGAGGTGGCACCCCAGCACTGTGGCGGAGGCACAAGCAGGCCCTGGGAGGAGAGCTCAGGCTCCTGCTCCACCTGAAGGAGAATGTGTGTCCTCCAGACGGACTGAATGGGATGTCTGGGGTCGGGTCGAGAGCCCGAGGGCACAAGGTGAGGCAGGTGGTTCCCTGCTCAGGGGGAAGAGCCCCACTGCCATAAGGAAAGCCAGATGTCCCCGTCTGCCCCCCGTTTCCCGGTTCCGCTAACTCCACTGAATGATGCTTCAAATCCCGGAAACTCAGATGGGAGGATCTCACGGTCAAAAAAGGCCCTCTTCCCCACCTTCTGATCACAGCTCACAGTGCCCTAAGGGCCGGGTCCTGGGAGCACACGTGCCTTGTCCCCTCATCTCCCTTTCCCTGAGGATGGTTCTGGACAAATCCCTGCAGAGCCACCTCCTGCCAGAACAGGACAGGTCCGTGCTGCCTTGGCCCCGAGGAGCTCGCCAGGCAGAAGGTCCTGAGCCGCAGGCGGCAGGCGGCACGTGGCCTGGCACAGCACTCTGCTGCAGAGCTGCCCGGCCCCAAGCATGCCGCTCCGTGACTCAGCTTCCTACACTCGGTGCCGTGGGGCTACAGAGACGAGACTGTGCCATCCGGCTTTCCGGAGAGGTGTCAGTGACGACCAGCCTTTAGAAAGTCCAGCTCTTCACTGGCTTTGGGGCCTTCTACCTCTGCAGCGGCTGGGGAGGGGTTCTGGCAGAGAAAAGGATGGAAAGCATGTTCCAGCCTTTCTTATCTCCCCTCAGAGGCTGCCCACCAGCTGCGGCATCACTGCTCTGATTTATTTGCTCACTCCGCCCCTCCCACCCCTCACTGTGTTTTTCATTCTCCAACCCTGTTTAGCACAAGCTAGTTTGTTATTTCATGAATCCTTGTGAGCCACCTGCAATCCTTCTTGCAACAAGATGGGAGGAAATAAACAAGAAAACAAACCACTAAACCATACCCTCCCCGCTCTGACCTTCGGCTCCTAAACAATTCTAACATCAGGAACGTTGGAGAAAGCCAAAGATTTCTTTTCAGTTCTATTTTGTCAGAGGGAGAGCTGAGGATCTTTTTTTCTATCTAATTAAAAACAAAACACCACGCAGATCCCTGAACAAATAAAAATGACCACCACCAACAAAACCCCCCAAAACTAAAAAACACTTAACAAAATTATCCCTCATTCCCAATGTGGAGAAGAATTTAATCAAAATCCGGGCAGGAGAAATTAAAAAAAATTCTTAGAACGCTATTTTGAAAAACTCATAGTTCCTTTTTTTCACTCACTAAACCCTTTAACTGCAAGCCAGGTGTGCGCAGAATGCGGTTTAATTCTGTCCAATTTGCAAGCGACCTTACCGTCTTCCCTTTGACCCACTCGGTGGCTAACGAGCTGGAGGCAATGGCAGAACCACAGCCAAACGTTTTAAACCGGGCGTCCACGATCTTCCCCTTTTCGTCCACTTGAATCTAGAAAGGAGACGGGAGTCAGGCAGTGATCCCGGTGCTGCCTTGCAGAGCCTGTCCCCACGGAGGGGCCCTGGGGCTCTCCCCAAGAGCTTTGGTCTTGCTTTCCACACCTTAAGTTTTGGCACTAATTACTGAGCTGGCTTAGTTTCAAAGAGCTCAGGGAGGAAAAGCTAAACATAGGAACAACTACACAGAATTATCCAGGCCTCGCTGGTAAAGATCAGCTGAAAAATATGCCCCCTCCCCAGTTTTGGTTTTCTTTGTAGCCTGCTTTCTGGCTACGCAGTTCTCTTCACAGTTGCTGGATAAACCCGCCTCTGTAAACGCTAGGAGAGCCTGCACTACAGGTCTCTGGTTGATGCTTTTTTCTTGGGCACCAAGTTGCATTTGCCTTGTTTCTGCTTTCCAAGACAGGCACGAAGACCTCTAGCAAGCTGCCCACCCACCATGATGAAGCAGATTGTGCATAAAGCTATGCTTTACCCAAGTGCCAGTCACTGCCTTCAGGGTGCCTCCAATTTGGGGGAGGTTTATTACATTTCTTATCTCACTGGGGACTGCTGGCTGAACGGTTGTGGTTTTCCTTTGATCAGTAAAATTCACAAAACCTTTTACTTTGCCGAAGTTGGAATTTAAGCTGACACAGGGACTAGAAAAGTGAGATCAGCTTCCTGTCTCAGAAAGGGTCAGCATAGGCTACTAGCGGGAGGACTAGCGTTCAGTCCCTGCTCTGACAGTTTACAACACTGACTCATCCCACCCCACAGGAATCAAGGTGCAGTACACACGGAACGCTGCACGTGCACAGGCTTCGTAAACGATGAAGCAACCGTCTAAGCAGAGGGATTACTGTGATGACCATTAAAGACACAAACCAGTCCCACCTGTAGTTTCATCACATCGCCACATGCTGGAGCCCCCACCAATCCAGTTCCAACATTTTTAGACGTCTTGTCAAGGGACCCTACATTTCTAGGATTTTCATAATGATCAACAACCTGAAATGAGAGGAAAGGAATCATGACTCTTTTTGGCACTGATCTCCCCACTTGACTGGAGTGGAGGCAATCACTACATCCCAAATCCCCCTGGGTAGGAAGGCTCAAATTTCTGTCAATGAGGACCCTTTGGGACCCAAAGTCTTTCTGTATCTCCTCTCCAACCACCTTCAGAGAGTTAAGATACTGGAGAAAAATCAGCCAAATCATGTCTTAATTCCATAGAGTTTTAAACCACAGATAATTACTTAACCTTCACCCACCTAAGTCACCAGATTTGGGCTCAAACAAATTTTATTGATTTCCAAATAAAAGCCATTCTCAAAAGATAACGATTACTATTCAAAAATTCTAAAAATAAGTACGGTCTAGAGATTGAAGCCTTCCCCAGACCGTCAAGGAGACTGTTCCAGGAGGAACAATGCTACGGAACGTGTCCATTTGTGTATGATGATAAAATCAGTCCCCTTCCCATACTTCAGGGCCCTGAAACCACCCCGGCGCAGCAGCGCCCCCTGGTGGCTGAAAGGCTGCTGGCCCGAATTCATTCAGCGTGAAATGTCAACAAAACACTCCCAGGAGGGAAAGGGGCGAAGTCCTTGGCGAACGAGAAGTCCTTGGCGAACGAGAAGCCAGAACCGGCACACCGCGGGCTTTAATAACCTTGGGGTCCGTTTACCAGTTAGCCCGAAGTATCCCGATCTTCCAGTCTCCTTCCCTCCACCTATCCGACCACGGATTTTGACTCCAAGCCCCGGGACCTACAAGATCATATCCAATCTGGACTTTCTGCCCCATGCTGATTTCCAGCATTCTTTAGTTAGTTTCTGGAGTGAAAGAAATCTCACGTCTAGGGGACTTTACACCCCCATAAGGCCAGGGCTGTAAACTACGCACCTAGTCCTCTCCCCCTCCTCCCGCAAAAAACCCGAAACATAAATAAAAACATTATGACTGTCGGTTACGTGTCTGACTCCGCTCAGAGGCTCCTTCCTACAACGGTAACAGCAGCAGCACCGTAAATGGTCCTCACGTGGCAGGCATCAGGCCGAGGACTCCAGGAGCATCATCTCGTGCAGGTCTAGGACTGCCAAGACCCCCCCCCCCCAGTCCACAAACGGGGAACCAGGTTCGGCGAAGGGCAGTGTCTCGCCCAAGGTCACTTGGCCAGGGCCGCGCCGCTGTGCGTGTCTGTCCCTGCATCAGGCTGGCAGGGACAGGTGCCAACAGGCCCGCTGTCCCGCGCTGCTGGGAAGTGGAAAGGCTGGGACGCGCGACCTGGCAGCCGTCGGCGGGCCCTGGCCGTGGCTACCCCACGAGCGGTGGCCGTCACTTTCATTTCCGGCGGGGTCGGGCTCCCGCGCAGCGAGGGAGAGCGCGGAGGCACGGCGCGGCCCCTGCACCCCCAGCCGGGCGCCGCCCCTTCGCCGGGCCGCAGTGGGGCTCCCCGAGCCGCTCCTCCCTCGGCCCGGCCCCCGTCGGGCGCCGCTACGCCCGGGCCCCCTCGGCGGTCCTCGCACTCCCGCCCCCGGGCCGCTGCGGCCCGGCGCAAACCCCGCCGGCGCCTACCTTCTTGTGATAGAGCCGGGCCGGAGCTGACAGCTCCCGGGCTGGCAGGCGTGGGCTCCGCAGCAACAGGGCCGACGCCGCCCGCCTCAGACGGCCCGCTCCAGCCGCCGCCATCTTGCGCGCTTGCGCCTGCGCAGGCGAGCGCGAGGCCGAGAGGCGTCGGCTCCTAGCTCGGAGCGCGCGCCCTCCTACGTCACCGCGACGTCGCGCCTGCGCCCTCTCGCTCCGTGCACGTGTCCGCGCGTTGGCCCCGCCTTGACCACGCCCCTCGGGGCGGGCGGGGCGCGGAGCTGGAAGGCGTTCAGTCCTGGGAGGGCGTGTCCTCGGTGCTGGGTTCTGGGTCTGCTGGGACCTCGGCCTCCTGGAGTGCTGGACCGAAGTTCACGTTCACAAAGGCCACCGCCGGAATGCGGCGCACAGGATCATCTAATCCACGTTTCTTAACTCTGTTTTGCAGCTTAGGAAGTTGAGGTTCAGAGCGGTTTGGTAACTGGTCTAAGGTTGCCCAGAGTTAGACTCAGTCGGGATTCAAACTCGAAAAATCCTGTTAGAATCCCGGTTCTGCTCCTTCCTGGCTGTGTGACCGTAGGCAAATGACGTCAGCTCTCTAAGCCTTGATTTTCTCTTTTGTACTAATTCAAGGACAGTTTTTTCAGTCATAGAGTCATGTGTTGAGTACCTATCATGTGTCAAGGCTCTATACTAGGCTTTGGGGTTCCAACGGAAAGAAAGACGCAGTTCCTGCCCCATTAAGCTTGCTAATGAAGGAGGAAAGCAATAAATAAACACACGAATACTTTCCTACCTCAAAAATGGGAAGCTTAATTAAGAAGGAAACAAACACTGTCATGATTTTTTTTTAAAGTGTATATATTTTTTAAAAAGTGTATATATTTGTCTATTTCAATATAAACCATCAAATTGTCACAATTTATATGACAATACCTGGCAAAGAAGAGTTTCTAAATAAATGGTTAGTCAAGTAACTTATTAATATTGGTCTGCAGAATATGATTTTATAAAACGAGAAATCTCACACGTATTTAACGCCTGCTAGTCACCAGGCATTACATAAAGGGGAGGAATCTCTTTGGGAAATGGGCTTTTCTCATAGATGGTGTAATCGATCCTTCCCCGAGGACTTGAAGCTCAGTTGAAGCTTCCCCGCGTTTGAAGCTCAGTTGCTGGGGAGACTGAACCACGCGCCAGGTCACACTGGGTAGTAAGTTAGGCATTTATCCCAAGAATCATATTGACCTTCTCAAGATGGCGCCAAACCCTTGACCACAGTCATCACGCTCGCTCCATGACTTCCTCTAATGGCCTCCACTTCCTGTCCAAAGACCCAACGTCTGTCTGAAGTTGTGGCGGAACATATGCCATGTTGGCGGGTTTTTTCCTCTGACGAGAACCTTTACAAGTATGTAAGAATAATATGAACGGCGTGCGTCTCGAGGTTTTTCCGTCATCCGAGGCTCACAGTTTCCCTCTGGGTGGCAAGAGCGCGGCGTTTTTGATCAGGCGCGCGCCGCGGGCAGCTTCTACTTCCGCGGGTCTTCGGCGGCCGTGTGAGGACCCGAGAGTCACTGGAAGCGCAAGATGGCGACGGCGGCTGCAACCTCGGCTTCGGAACCGGAGGCTGAGCCCAAGGCCGGGCCCAAGGCCGAGGGAGAGGAGGAGGAGGTGAAGGCGGCTAGGACGAGGAGGAAGGTGTTATCGCGGGCTGTGGCCGCTGCGACGTGCAAGACCATGGGGCCAGGGTGGGACCAGCAGGAGGAGGGCATGAGCGAGAGCGATGGAGACGAGGAGTACGCCATGGCTTCGTCGGCGGAGAGCTCCCCCGGGGAGTACGAGTGGGAGTACGACGAGGAGGAGGAGAAGAACCAGCTGGAGATCGAGCGGCTGGAGGAACAGGTGCGCCCAGGGGTGGGCGGCGGGCTCTTTCCCTGGGGCCGCCGGGCGCGGCCCGCCTCCCCGGTCCTGAGCGGGAAGAAAGCCGCGGAACCGCTCTTCCCGCAGCTGCCGGCATCGGAGCGCTTCCCGCCGGCCCCGTGCTGGGCAAGCCATATGCCATTGAATCCTCGCAACGACCCCGCCGAGGAAGGGGCGCATCCCCCGTTTTACGGGAGGAAACAGGCTCCTCGTGGAAGTAATTCTCTAGCTCGAGATGACGCTTCCTGCAAGTGGCGAGTCGGGTCTTGAACTTTAAACCGATTCCAGCGCTCCCACTCTTAACCACACCGTTAAACTCTGTCCAGCAGTGGAAATGTAATTCTGTCCTTAAGAGAAGGGTGTCTTCCTGAAGGAATGATGATAATAATGAAATAGGGCGTGATAGGAAAAATATTGATCGTGACGGCCATCATGGGGATAGAAAGGTAGAGATTTCGGCGTCTGGAGGCGAAGGCCCCAGTTCTAGCTCTTCCACACCTTTGTGTGCTTGGGCGCCTTTCCTCTTTGAGTCTCGGCTTCCTCATCTGTAAATTGGGAGCAGCAATTCTTGCATCATGTAATTGTCATAACGGTGATTATAGTTCATTGCGCGGCGCTTAGTAGTCATGTGACTTCTAGTCTCTAACCTTATGAGATATAGGTGGTGGATGGCCTGTGTAATCCAGGATCCTAGCAGGAGATAGGTGGTGCATTCAAATTAGGATAATTTGAGAAAAAGCCAATAAAGGGACTGCTGTGTTTAGAAAGGTGTGGCAGGGACATCAGGAGTGAAGATTTAGTATCTCAGGGCTAGTAGTAACAGCAGGACCTTGTGTTCACTTTTAGGGCTGAAGGGGTGAGGGGAGTGACCGATTTTCTGAATAGTTGTGTGAAGAGGGCACCTAAGAGAATCTAAGACTTTAGGGCAAAGGGTGCGGCCCCAGTTTCCCGTCAGAGATTGGGGTGAGGGAAGAAATACCCTAGCCTCCCTCTCCTCCTCTGTCCACACATCTGCTGGTGCCTCATTCCTGGCACACCCTGCTGGGAGCAAAAGAGCCATGAAGCCAGTTGATGTGGTCCACAGAGGGGGGCACAGGACAGGGAGGAGGGAGTGGAGTGGATTTGGAGGGGCAGATGGAAGAGATCAAGCACATTCTCAATTTACAGGTGAGGAAACAGGCTCAGAACAAATGATGAAATGATTTGTTTAAAGTCACTCATAAGGGGATTTGAACTTTTCGGGGTTGTCTGTGGACCAGATGCCCCCCCTGTATGTGAAATCACTTAGTGATGTGAAGATTACTTGCTTAACCTTGCTGGATGTGAGATTCCTTATAATGTCTTCTCTGGGAGTGATGTTTTTGTTAAGTTATGAAATAGTGATATCATCCATTGGTATAGCTTGTCCCACTTGTCATCACATTTGACTGTCAAAGGAACCACTTGGAGTAGGCAGGTGGTTACCATTTCTGCTTTTTATGAGTAACTATGCTGATGTTCATTCAGTCTTTTTACTCATTCAGCAAATACAATGTGATACAGAGTGCCTGACTGGCTGTGTCCCTGTCCTTATGGGCGTCTCTTCTTCACGCTTCTAGTCTTGGGCCTTTCAATGAGCCATAAGCTCACTTGGATCTTACTATTCTATGAGGTAGAGGAAATAGGATCATCTGTTTTAGTGGAAGGGGAGGCTTGGAAGCAGAGAGGTGAAGTCTTTGATGAGGGTGTCCAGCTTACTAGTCTAGGGGAGGAAGACAATTCCTCTACACTCCAGGTCCTTCTGGTTGGTCTAAGAATTAAATTGACATGAGGCAGAATAACAGGAGAAAAGCAAACAAAGCTTTATAACATATATACATGGGAGAGACCCAGGACAACTGGGTAACTCGCCAGAATGGCCAAAGCTGCTACCTTAAATACCATCTTCAGCTCAAGGCAAAGGAGGATGTTGAGGGTAGTGGTTTGGGTCTTCAAAGGGGAGGAAGGCAATTTACATGGAGGTGGAAAAACAAATGGGGCAGCTACAGACGATGTGACCTGAGAGACACGTTTTATGTTACTTACATTACATTACATTACAGTTAGCTTATGGTGGTAGCTCCTTCCTGGAACAGGCCTTCTATCTTAAATTCTTTTAGGCAGTTAGGGGGAAGGTCAAAGTCTCTTTCAGAGTCTTTTGTTCTTAAAAATAATCAAGCCAAAGAGATGCATTTTGGGGTGGCCAATTCTGATCCCCCACCCTAGGGAGGAGGAGGGGTCGGAGCTGAGGTCTCTTGACCTCTGGTGCTCTGCAGTGGCCTGCATTGCGTACTTCACCGAGGCTGGGATGGAGCCCAAGGTGACCACGCGGGAGGGGCCCTGGCCAGTGATGGTGAATTGAAGAGCCTCTGGCCGCCTTCTCTTTGTCCTGGGCCTAGAAATTGACTTTTCCAATTTTTCCAAGCCTCCTTTCGACCTCATCGTAACCTCACAGCCTCTGGTTCCTGCCGTAACTGCTCTTAGGTGCAGCATGATGATGAATAACTTCCAGATAGGTCTGGGAAGTGTTCAGCCTTGCCATGCCTGTGAATTTCAGTTCTCATCCCTAGGTGTGTTTTGTGAAAGCTGGAAAATAGTGGGCTGGCTGGCTGTGTAACAAAAGCCAGGATTTTCCAGCACTTGTGTTTGGTCCTGAAATGAAGAGTGGCACCTCAGGCAGGTTCGTCAGTGCGCCCTGGTGCGGTGCCGAGATGGCTTTGCGGCCGTGTGAGAGCTCAGGGCCACTGCTTGCTGGTGGAAAGACCTTGTACACGTTCTTTCAGCTCTCTGGGCCTGTGGGGTCCCAGCTGGGGAAGGAGGGTTGTAACAGTGCCTCCCTCATGGGGCTGTTATGGAGCTTAAGAGATGCAATGCGTGTTACACTCTTGGCACAGTTTGGCACATCGTGGGTGCTGTGCCAGGGCCTGTTTGACAGACCTGCGCCGTTCTCCTGTCCCTGCCTTTCCCTGATTGCAGCAGCGGTGGCCCTTCCATCAGCCTCTCTGTTACCTCTCCACCCCATCCCAGGTCGTGCCCTCAGGGAGTTAGGAAGTCAGCTGGTCCCTCTGCGTTGGCCAAGCCGCCTCTTCTCTGTGAAGCGCCCTTCGTCTTTAATGATGTTGTGAGGCCAGAATAGGGCAGCGTCTGCACTCATCTGTCAGTGCCCAGGGAACTCCGTGGAGGTCTCTCTCCTTGCATCGCAGTGTGCATTTAATATGCACACTTTCAGAGCATCTCTCCGTATACAGCATCTTCATTGTTGGGCCTGAAAGTCAGAAATTTAGACGAGAAGCCACTTTAGAGGCAGTTCCTCTACTTCACTGACTTTTCTGCCTTTTTCTTTGGACCCGCACATGCTCTTCACGCGAGGGGCACTTGCACAGACATTGCTCACACTAAGTAGCAAGGACTCTCCCGCCCGCCTTCGCGCTGACAAACACGTTCAGACCGAGAGTGGTGGGGTGGACAGCGAGAGCCTTGAATGCTCTTTAATGCCCAAAGTACATCTTTCCCCAGCTTCTCTTCTTCTCCTTTTTTTTTTTTTAAAAGTTTGGCACCTGAGCTAACATCTGTTGCCAATCTTCTTCTTTTTTTTTTCTGCTTTTTCTCCCCAAATCCCCCCAGTACATAGTCGTATATTCCAGTTGTGGGTCCTTCTAGTTGTGGCATGTGGGACGCCACCTCAGCATGACCTGATGAGCGGTGCCATGTCCGTGCCCAGGATCCGAACTGGGGAAACCCTGGGCCGCCGAAGTGGATCGTGTGAACTTAACCACTTGGCCACAGGGCTGGCCCGCACTTCTCTTCTTTAACTTTTGTTACTTGTGTGACACACTTGCTGGTCCATCTTGAAACATCAGTGTGTCATGAGAGCCCACTTGAGGAGCAGAGCTTTACTCCAGCTCTTTCATGGTTCAAATGGGGACACTGAGGACCAGTGTGTCCTGACCTAGTCCAGTCCTTTTTCCACCCGTCATGTAATCATGGGATGGGTTCAGCTTGTCAAATTTTATAAATTATGAGCAGAACATTGCTAAAAGTCTTAAGATTTAAAAAAAGTTACAGGTCCTGCTCCTATCTGTTACTGATTCTTCTTTGTTAGCTTTTTGCATGTAATTTGATCCATACCAAGCAGTTCACATCTGGAAGTTAGAAGGTGTGGTGATCCAGTGAGCACCGCTTCCCCCAGCGGGCGCTCTAAGATAACGTCCTTGGTCGTGTCGTGTGTACCTGTGACTTCTCTCCTGTCACCCTCCTCCCTTATCCTCTCCTAAAACCCAGGTGACTACTTCCTTTTCTTTTTGGTGCGGTAACTACTTTCTGGAATCTTATGTACTTCCTTTTCAAACATGTTTAGTCTTATCACCTCAGCGTGCATCCCTAAACAATATATTGTCCACTTTTGTTCGTTTTTGAGCTTTTTCAAAAGTGTATCCTGCTATTTGTAGTCTGGGACTGGTTTTCAGTCAGCAGTGTGTTGCTAAGATTTATTTTTGTCACGTGCAGCTGTAGTTCATCCGTTTTGACTAGCCTGTACGGTCATGTGTTGCCTAGTGACGGGGGCGTGTTCTGAGAAATGCTGGGCGATTTCGTCATTGTGTGACCATCCTAGAGTGCACTTACACAAACCTAAATGGTCTAGCCTACTACACACCTAGGCTGTATGGTACTAATCTCATGGGACCACCGTCGTATCTGCGGGCTGTCGTTGGCCAAAACGTTATGTGGCACACGACTGTATTTAGCATATCAGTGTGTGAGTGTCCCACAGTTTATCAGTTCTTCTGGCATTTGGCTTGCTTACACTTTGTTTTTCCTATTACAGACAGGCTACAAGGAACATTGTTACTGGTGAACTATGCTGCTACTGAACGTGTATAAGCATTTTTCTAAGTCAAATTGGGGTCATGGTCATGGGTCATGAATTCACGTTAGTAGGTACAACCGGTGCCACCTGTGTCATATATTTTCCTTCCGTGTGGGTCTGTTTCCGGGCGTTCTCGTTGGTTCTCTTGGTCTCTCTATTCCTGTCTCAGTTCTGCAGTCTAACTCATTGCTGAGACGTGCTGTCTGGGGAGGCCAGTCCTGCGGTGCGTGTTGGAGTGCAGCAGCTCGCATCGACATGGTGGAGAGCACGTTGTCAGTGGGCACAGTGGTAGTTGTGTGAAGTACAGGTGGCCTGCCGTCTCTGGAGAGGGAACCATTTATTGCTGAAACGTTGTGGCTGATGTTGGAAAAGTAGATGCTGGTCTAGTCTCCGTGTATAGACGTACGGTATCCCCATATCTCAACTCGTATGAAAGCCTTTTTAAAAAATTAAGCCTTTCCTTTTGAGATAATGGTAGGTTTTGCTGAAGTTGTAAGAAATAATACAAATAGATCCTGTGTACCCTTTACCCAGTTTCCCCCAATAGTAACCTTTCGTAAAACTATGGTGTAATATCACGACCCCGATATTGACAGTGATACAGTCAAGACACAGATCGGTCTGTCACCACAAGGATCCCGCCTGTTGCCCTTTTACAGGCACAGTTCCTGACCTCTGGCCACCGCTGATGTGTCCTCCATTCTAATTTAGTCATTTCAAGAATGTTACGTAAGTGGAGTCACAGTTATGTAACCTTCTGAGATTAGCTCTTCACTCAGCGTAACTCCCTGGGGATTCCTCTGAGTTGTGTGTATGTGAGTTGGTTCCTTTTTGTGGCTGAGTAGTATTCCACGGGTGGCTGTACCGTGGTTAGTTTAACCGTTCATCTGGGTTGTTTCCAGTTTTGGCTGTGAGGAATAAAGCTGTTATGAACATTCCTGTACAGGTGTCTGTGTGAACATAGGTTTTATTTCTCCTGAAAAATGCCCAGGGGTGCACTTGGCGGGTGATATGGTAATGTTGTGTGTTGAATTTTGTAAGAAACTGCCAAGCTGTTTTCCAGAGTTGCTGTACCCGTTTTACACTCCCATCAGCAACATATGAGTGGTCTGGGTTTTTTACATCTTCTCCAGCATTGGTGGTGTCACTTTTTTTTATTTTGGCCGTTCTGTTAGGTGTGTAATGGTATCTCATTGTGGTTTTAATTTGTATTTCCCTGAGAGCTGATGCTGTGCCCTTATTTGCCATCTCTGTGTCCTATTTGGATATATGTGGTGGTTCATGTCTTTGCCCATGTTTTAATTGGATTGTTTGTTTTTTACTGTAGCGTTTGGAGTTACATCTTTTAGATATTAGTCCTTTGTCAGATGTGTGGTTTGTAAATATTTTTCCCAGTGTTTAACTTGTCTTTGCATCCTCTTAACAGAATCTTTTACAGAGCAAAAGGTTTTCATTTTGGTGAGGTCCTAACTTGCTGAGAATTTTTATTATGAGTGGTTGTTGGGTTTTCTCAGACGTGTTTTCTGTTACAGTTGATACTGTGCTTTTTGGTCTTTAGCCTGTTGATGTAGTGGATTACAGTGCTTGCTTTTCAAAGGTTGACTAGCCTTGCGTACCTGGAATAAATCCCACGTAGGCATGGGGCCTGCTCTTTTTGTACGTTGAATTTAGTTCTCTGAGTCCTCCACACTGTGCCAGCTGTATCCCACTTGTTTTGATTTGCTCTATTTTCATTCAGTTCTGTGTATTTTTAAATTTTCTTTGAGACTTCCTCTTTGACCCATAGATTAGTTAGAAGCGTATTGCTTAATTTCCAAGTGTTTAGAGATTTTCCTACTTTTACTGACTTCCGGTTTGATTCTATTGTGATGAGAAAACGTACTCTCTGTGATTTCATTTCTTTTAAGTTTGCTGAAGTTTGTTTTATGGCGTAGGATAAGGTCTCAGTGGATGCTCCATGGACACTTAAGAAAAAGATGTGTGTTCTGTTGTTGTTGGGCGGAGTGTCCTATGTGTGTCAGTTAGATCGTGTTGGCTGATGCTATTGAGTTCTTCGAGATCCTGGCTGAGTATCTGCCTAGTAGTCCTTTTAGTCGCTGAAATGGGGGATGTTGAACTTCCCAGTAGAGTTGTGGATCTGTGTCTTCCTTCTTGCAGCTCTGTCAGGTTTTGCTTCATCTATTTTGAGACTCTGTTGTTTGGTGTGTACACGTCTTCCTGATGGGATGATCATTTTATCGTTAGGTAATGTCCATTTTTATCTCTGATAATTTCCTTTGCTCTGAAGTCTACTTTATGTGATACTAATGTAGCCACTTATGCTGCTTTTTTTTGTTGTTGTTGCTGAGGAAGATTCGTCCTGAGCTAACATCTGTTGCCGATCTTCCTCTTTTTGCTGAGGAAGATCCATCCTGAGCTAACATCTGTGCCAGTCTTCCTGTATTTTGTATGTGGGTCGCTGCCACAGCATGGCTGCTGAGGAGTGGTGTAGGTCTGTGACCGTGAGCTGAACCCGGGCTGCCGAAGTGGAGTGCACCGGACTTAGCCACCAGGCCCCGGGGCCGGCCCGTGCTTCTTTTTGATCACTGTTTGCATGTGTCTCTGCCCATTCTTTTACTTTCAGCCCACCCGTGTCCTTGAATTTGAAGTGACTTTCTCGTACTCAGCACATAGTTGGGTCGTGGTTTTGTCCATTCTGCTGTTCCCTGCTTTCTAATGTGCACTTAGACCATACACATTTAGGGTAATTATTGGTATATTAGTGCTAAAGGCTGACATTTTATTGTTTTCTGTTTGTTTCCTCTGTTCCTTGTTTTTCTTTCTCTTTTTTCTTGCCTTCTTGTGGGTTACTTAAACTTTTCTTAGCATTCCATCTTGATTTGTTTATAGTGATTTTTAGGGGAATGCTTTGTGTAGTGTCTTAGTGGTTGCTTTGAGTATTACAGTCTGTTTGACTTAGATGGTCTCTGTGTTTTACCACTGAGTGAAGTGTGGAAATCTTCCTTCCATTTAGGTCCCTTTACCTTTCCTACTTTGAAATCCTGTTATTGTGGATATCAGGCTTAAATTTTTGTTTGTGATTACATACAATTTAGAAAACAGGAGAAGGATCATCTGTTGTGCGTAACCCATATTTTTGCTCTTTCTCTTATTCTTTCTTCCTTCCTGATGCTCCAGGATTCCTTTTTCATTTCCTTTCTGTTTGAAGAACTTCCTTTCGCTCTTTTTTAGGAGTAAGTCTGCTAGTGACAATTTTTTTTTAGTGTTCCTTTGTCTCAGACATGTGATAGCTTTTAAGCAATTAATTTATTATTTTAACTTTTGGTGTGAAAAGTTTCAAATATAAAAATAAACCTTTATGTACCTATCACTTAGTTTTGCCAGATACCAATGTGTTGCCATGCTTGTTTCTCCCAGTAGGGGTTTTTTTGTTTGTTGTTTAGTAAAGGACAAGTGCTTACCTCTGTACCTGGCTCGTGCTAAAGCAGGTTACTAAATTATCTTGAAATCCTCACAAGAAGCATGTGAGCTAGAACCTACGGGTATCCTCCCTTTTTTTCTTTTTTTTGCTGATGAAGATTAGCCCTGAGCTAAGATCTGTGCCAGTCTTCCTCCACTTTTTATATGTGGGTCACTGCCACAGCATGGCTGATGAGTGGTGTAGGTCCGCGCTCGGGATCCAAAGCTGCGAACCTGGGCTGCTGAAGTGGAGTGTGCTGGACTTAGCCATTAAGCCACAGAACTGGCCTCAGTATCCCCATTTTATAGATGAGGAATTGGAGGCTTAGAAAAGTTAATAACTTGCCTAAGGTCACACTTTGTGTTTGTTTTGTTAGAATGTTTTCTGTATTTTGGAGAGAACCCAAGTGTATTCTGGCCGGGGTTGTAACAAATTTGAGGGAGCTTCATGTTTATCATAAAAAGCCTCTTTTTTTCGTCTTCCTGTGGGTCAGTGTTGCGTTACTGTTTCAGTGGCTGTCCCAGATGGCACATTTATCTTCTTCGTGGCAGCCGTGTGCGTTGTCATCAGTGGTGAAAATAGCTAAGTTACTTTGATGATGGCATTTTAAATGTCGACTTCTGTTCCTCTTCCTTTCAGCTGTCTATCAACGTCTATGACTACAACTGCCACGTGGACCTGATCCGGCTGCTCCGGCTGGAAGGGGAGCTTACCAAAGTGAGGATGGCCCGCCAGAAGATGAGCGAGATCTTCCCTCTGACTGAAGGTAGCGCTTGTGCAGTCAGCCTGCGTTATGAGCACAGAATTGAAGGGGGCATGGTTTTCTCAATGCTGAAAGTGGGTCAGGCTCCTTCTAGAAAATTTGGAACGTATTGTGCAAAGAAGAGAATCCATCATCCAAAGTCAGCGATTTTCAGTTTATCGTTTTGTAGTTTTTTGCAAAATGTAGGTGTGATCGTATAATACTGATTCACATTTTGAATCCTGATTGTTTTATCCTAACATTATGATAAAAATTTTCTATGTTGCTAAACTTTTCCCTTAGTCCCTATTTCCTATTCCATTAATTAGGTATTTAATTAATTCTCTCAGAAGTAGATAATTGTAAATGTATTACAGTTAAACATATTCATTTTTGGTGAAGAAGATTGGCCCTGGGCTAACATCTTTGGCAATCTTCCTCTATTTTTTCTTTTGAGGAAGATTAGCCCTGAGCTAACATCTGTGCCCATCCTCCTCCATTTTATACGTGGGTCACCTGCCACAGCATGGCTTGGTAAGTGGTGTGTAGGTTTGTGCCTGAGATCTGGACTGGTGAACCCCAGGCCTCCAAAGCAGAGTGTGTGAACTCAACCACCACACCACCGGGCTGGCCCTACAATGAAACTTGTACAATCGATTTTTAATGTAACTGTTTCATACCTTGTTTGTTCCATGATAGTTAGGCATTTAGGTCATTTCTACTTGTTTGCTAATTTGAATCATAATTACGCTGAGCATCTTTGTAGTTAGGCCTACCTGAATATTCACAGTTGATCTTCTGGAGAGCAGTTGGAAAACACTGGTCCTGCATCCAGCTCTGCCCCCCTCCCATAGAGTAGCTGCTGAGTATAGACGCTGAAGTCAGATGGCCCACGCTCGTTCCTGATTAAACGTCTTACCAGCTGTGGGACCTTAAACAAATTATGGAAACGTGCTAAGACTCCGTTTTCCTAGCATAAGATGGGGTCACAGTAGTTTCTGCCTCATAGTACACGGATGGATGAGGCCTTCTGTGTGCAGCACTTACCACGTGCCTGGCATGTCATCACTGCTTGGGTAGATGCAACTGTTGCTAGTTACTAGCACCTTCCTCACAGGACTTTGGCAAAGTTTGGGTGAGAAAATATATACGCCAGTACTTTGCAAACTATGACATGCCCAGTAGGCGTAGGGTACTGTGGTTTTCATGATTTGATCTGTAGGAAGCATAAATGTTCTGTCTGCACGGTGCAGGTTTAGGAACGGACTTCTGTGACCTGTGCGGGTTGTGTAGGGCGTGTGAAGCATTTGCATCCTGATGACGCGCAGCAAGGTCCCTGCTTCCAGCCCGCCCTTTGGTGAGGGAGGTGGTAATGCAGGATGTGCTCTTGTCTTGTAGAGCTCTGGCTGGAGTGGCTGCATGACGAGATCAGCATGGCCCTGGACGGCCTGGACAGAGAGCACGTGTATGACCTCTTTGAGAAAGCTGTGAAGGATTACATTTGTAAGTTCCCGGTGGGCTTCTGGGAGGCTGTCTGGCCGTGTCATCCAGCATCAGTCTCTGCTGTTGTGGATTGTATTGAGAGATGTTACTACCCAGAAAAGAGAGTATTAGTCTAGCAATTAGAAAGATTCGACTTCAGGTTTTTCTTTCTTTCTTTCTTTTTTGCTGAGGAAGATTAGCCCTGAGCTAACATATGTTGCCAATCTTCCTCTTTTTTTTTTTTTTTGGCTTGAGGAAGATTTGCCCTGAGCTAATATCTGTGCCATTCTGCCTCAACTTTATATGTGGGTCACTGCCACAGCATGGCTGACAAGTGGCCTAGGTCCACGTGAACCCGGGCCACTGAAGCAGAGTGCACTGAACTGAACCACTCTGCCAGGGGGCTGGCCCCATTGACTTCAGTTATTCTTATCGTCATGTCTGGTCTTCACTTGAGGATGTTTGGTTTTAAAATACAAGGAAAAAATTATTTGTAGTAAGGGAATAAATATACTCACATCCAGCGTTTATCTGTCAGGGAGCTCTTAGATTATTTCCAGATGACGAAAGGTTACCTTCTACATGTTGAATGTGTTTTTAGAAGTTTCGGACAGGATGCTGCTTTTTCTAAATATTAAAAAATGTAAAATGTTTTCATTTTGAAATAATTACAGATGTACAGGGAATTGCAAAAATAGTACAGAGAAGTTCTGTGTGCTTACTCCTTGCAGTTTCCCCAGATATCTTATAGCCGTCTTGCAAAATCAAAGCTGGGAACTTGACCTTGGTGCAGTGTGTGTATAGTTCTATGACATTTTGTCCCGTGAGTAGATTCGGGTAACCACCCCTGCAGTCGAGTTAGAGAGCGCCTGTCATCACAGAACTCTCCTGGGGTAGGCCTTGTACAGTGCGGCCAGGTGGGGGCGCCTTACCTCCTTTAAGTCCTTTTCCCTCCCCTGTTGATGGCTTAACTCTCTGAACATCTCTGCGTACATCGAGGGCCATGTGGGACAACGCTATGGACTAAATGTTTCTAGTGCCCCCTTTGCGTAAGCACCCTTCTTCCCTGTCTGACTTTCCTCTCCCCACTGTGGGCATCTCCCATTGTGGACAGCGCCAACTTAGAAGATAAACTGCCCCAGGGGAGAGAAGTCTTCCGCCACCTTTTCCAGCCAATAAGAATTTCTCATTTGTTTACTTTTTATAATCTGAATAATGAAAACAATAGGTGTTATGTGAATATAAAATTACACTAAATGTATTTTTGAAAGCTGTACTTGGGTCTCTGCTCTGGTGCCGCCACGTGGCCTCGGAGAATCTCTGACAGAGTTCCAAATGCATGATGTTCCCATGTCTCCTGATGATCCTGTTCCCCTTTCATGGTGCCCCAAAGTCACCAGTGACAGCACCAATCCTCTTTCTCCAAGGGTCTTTCGTCCTTCCGTAGACTGATGGTTTTCGGTCCCCTCTGGTTTTGCGGTTGTCTCTGCCGTCAGGCCTGCGCTGTCACTTGGTGCTGATGTCAGCGTGCCTTCCCTTCCCCCAGCTACCTCAGGGCTGCTGTGGGTAGGAAGTCAGATCACCATGCTTCTTAGATGAGGGCTCATCAGTAGTTTTGAATGCGGCCCGAGGGCTTGCTCTGTTATTTTCTAGAGCTTTAGTGTGTGGAACTTGTGTCATTTGTTTTAAATGTTCGAAAACTCCTTTTGCCTGCTTCTTACTTTTTAACTACGTTTTGCACGTTTGAGGATGTCAGGCGTAGACCTCCTTTATTTCTCATCACGTACTCAGTGATGATTCTGGGCTGTCTGGGAGGTTGCCAGTGTGCCATTAATAGCTATGGCTCTGGCCCTTTGGCTCTAAAGATTGTGAGAATCAGGTTCCTCGGTCCTTGGGAGAGCCTCGTGCCTGTTTTGGACCTGGGATCTAGTGACGCGTTCCTTTGTTTACTCCTCATAGTCACTGTGGACTCTGCACCCTTGGGTTTGCCGAGTTTAAGATGCTCTTCATAATATTTGCCCGTCTCTAGATTATTTAAATATTGGGAGGAGCCATGATGTAATCTATTGAGAACTACCTTCTCTTTAGAGGAGCTGTTTCATAGACTATCTGTAAACGTGACTTACCCTCACGAAGGGCGTCAGCTCCAGGAGCTAGCTCATTTCCATTTTTATTTTGCAGCCCATATGGCAGCTCTGTATTGGTGAGTGAAAACAGAGAAGCTAACAGACTGTGGCTAAGTTCTTTGAAATAAACCTATTTCAGTGAAAAAGCAAGCCTTAGGAAAAGATACAATAATTCGGAAATTGGTTTATCTTTTTAGTATTTTTATTTTACAAGGTTAGTGAATAGGCCTCTGATATTACTTCAGGTTTCTGAAAAGTGACTCGATAGGCAAACCGTGTAGAGCTAGAATTGATGCATTCATGAAGAGTTCGTTCATTAGTCTAGTCTTAAAGCCACGTGAGTGAGTGTATAAAAAGTTTAAAAAGAAAGTGAAAGAAACGAGGCAATCAGGTCTTTTTGGTTGTTAAAACGTCATTAAAAATAGGGATTTAAAATATAGATTTCCAGTAACAGAATTGGTGCTTTTAATTTTGTTTTTTTCCACTTTGACCAGAAGGCTTAACAATTAGTCAAGATTCAAAAGTTGAGAAATTCTAGGCTTTGAATCTCTTTGAAGATTGATTGAGATTTGCAACTCTTTTCATTGCAGTCTGTTGCTGGCTTCTTTCAGTTTCAGTAAATAAGCATTGCAGTCCCAGTCATATTACATATTACCACCTGGCATCTCCCGTGGATGCAGTTAAATCTCAACGACGATACCCAGCGGGGACGTTGTTTATAACATGCTTTCTTCTCCGGCTGCAGAATTAGCGTAGTCAAATCGGGGTGCTGGTTGATGATGCTCTGACCTTTTTGCATGAATGAGTGCTCTTTTGGTGGGCACATTTCTTTTGTTCTGCATCAAAACAAAAATTTTGACATTGGAGTATTTCATCTCGTGAACTAATAGAACACTTGTCATTTTCAGGTCCTAACATCTGGCTAGAGTATGGCCAGTACTCAGTCGGTGGGATTGGTCAGAAAGGCGGCCTTGAGAAAGTCCGCTCTGTGTTTGAGAGGGCTCTCTCCTCCGTCGGGTTACACATGACCAAAGGACTCGCCATCTGGGAGGCCTACCGGGAGTTTGAAAGTGCGATTGTGGAAGCCGCCCGGGTGAGTGCCCTGGCTCCGGGACCGGTGCCTGCCTTTGACTGGTCGGGGCTCTTCCGTAAGTGGTCTTGGGAAGGACACAGTTAGCAAAATGGTCTTCGCCACTCCCTTATTGGGTGGGCAGTAAAAGAAATAAAATCAGCAGTCTTTGTGGAATAGCAGGAATGCTTGCTTTGACTAAAAAGCAGATGACTCTACGATTTTTTCCTGATGTTTAAAAATATTACTGTCTTAGTTATTGTTTCCAGATGAATGCACAAGAACAACTATGTCATGCCGAAAAAAACATATATGTATATCTCTATAACATATATATAAACATATATATGTATATCTCATGTCCATTGGTGGCTGTGAGAGGATGAGCCCGTCATAATTGCATATTTTAGACTATGATTTATAGAATTTTCCAATGCCCTCCCTAGTGTCCCCTCTCCACTACGTTTGTGTGTGTGCACAGTTATTGCGGGCACGTAGTGGAGCCCTCTCGTCGTTAGACCCTTGTCCTTAGACTAGCCCAGCCCCTTCTGGATGGTGTCCCTGTTAGAAGTCTGCAGTGGTGCCTTCCCTTCACCTGCTGGAGGTGTCAGGGCTAGCTCCTTCAGCTGGCATTTGTGGCTCTCTAGAATCAGACGTAACTCTGCGTGGACTCTGCTCCCACGCTCCCCTCAACGTTCTCTCACTGTCTGGCCACGGTACTTTTATGGACACTGTTCCTTCAACTGAGAGATTTCTCTCTCCTTAGCTCTAGAGAGCCTACAGACTCATCCCAAATGCCAGCTTCTCCAGGAGTCTTTCCTGATTTCTTCTCTTCATAACAACAAAACTCAGCCCTAGAAACCGGCTTAAAGCAAGCCACAGTGCTTTGATACTGGTGACACTTTGCTTTTCTGATACGTACATTCTGCCTCATCATAGTCGTTTGGATACGTTTCTGATGATCCTTCTTGTTTTCTCCCCATCGTACATGCTTAGTAGCAGAGATAATACTTATTTTTGCAGTATTTGGCACAATACCTCATGTATAAGAGCTCATATAGATGTTTTTAGTTTGAACTAAAAGTGTATTGAAATTTTTTGAAGGAGGAAGAACCAAAGTTTGTCATTTACTACGAATTTGCTTCTTTAGCCCATAGCTGGCTTCCTTTCCCCTTTTGACCGGGAACAAACCTTTGATTCACAGCTTGAGAAAGTCCACAGTCTCTTCCGGCGACAGTTGGCGATCCCGCTCTATGGTAAGAGAAACTGACATGTCAATAGCCAGCCCTTCGTGGTTTCTGAAACGCTTTGGGGTATGTCATGCAGTTAGGCCTTCCCCAGCATCCCGTGGGGCAAGTGTAGCTGGTGTTCTTACTCTCATTGGACAGTGTCACTGTGGACGAGGCCCTTGGTCACAACTTGCCTTGAATTGTATTAGTAATGCTCAGGAGGGTTATGAGGGCCAGAGCAGGACTGGAAGCTGCATGTCCGGACACCCAGTTGCAATCTCTCTCCTCCTGTTAGACGTTGTTGGAGAGGCAGAGACAGGGTCTCTGAAGGGACAGGGAAACCGACCCCCTGTGTTTTCTGGGGAAACTTTGTTGCATTGAGGTTCCATTGTAAGCATTCGCTCTTCAGGACTAACCTCTTCCCTGCTAGAGTGGGGATTTCCGTGGGTTTATCTCATCTCCTATGAGGCGATGTGGCTCAGAAGCACCATCGACTGGAAGTATTCGTATCTGAATTTCTTGGGGTTTGGTAAGGCTTCCCCTTTTTGGGTGGATATACTCTGGCGAGCCAAGCCTTCGAGGCTCTGGAGCTGGGAGCCGAGCAGCACAGGGGGTTTCCTGAGTGTGGGGAGTTTGGGGCTGCATCTTGTTTCCTCCCTAGGCATGGTTGGGCATCGTGGCCCTCAGGACCTCCGGGCACCTTGAGCCCAGGCAGCGCTGCTCTTTTTACTTCATGGCGTATTTGGATCTGATTTAACAAATCATAAAAGTGACTCTCCTTGAGTCAAATCCTTGAGTGACATGCAGAAAAGGCTAGAACTGAGCTGGCTTGTAGATTTCCTCTCCCCTACCAGGCTGAGGCAGCGTAGCGTAGCGAGGAGAGCATGGTCGCGAGCCGGCCTGCCTGGGCTCAGCCGCACTGTGCTGTTGACTGCAGACAAGTGAGGGAGTTCCTGCTTCAGTTTCCTCAACTGCGAAACCGGGGCCTGATAGAACCGCCTCGCAGAGTGTGGGGCCTGAGAGCGTTCACGGGGGCGGAGGGCTGGGACATAGGAAGCCCCAGGCGAGTGTTGCGGAAGGATTGCTGCTGGCTTCCCTGACTGACTGGTTCGTTGGAGGGCTGTCTGGGACCGTACTTTGAGGCGGTCTCAGGCCCAGCCTGGGCTCGGCAGGAGAGCGCAGGATTCCGTCACTAAGAGCTCCTGTGGCACAGGTGAGGGAGGGGCTGATGCGTCTGAGTCGCATGGTTTAATCTCTGTCTGGGTTGATAAAACCCAATGGCACGACCCACGGGGCTGAATCCATCTTTCAATAGATATGGAGGCAACATTTGCAGAGTATGAAGAATGGTCAGAAGACCCAATACCAGAGTCGGTAATCCAGAGCTATAACAAAGCGCTCCAGCAGCTGGAGAAATACAAACCCTATGAAGAGGCGCTGGTAAGTGCTGGCTCCTTTTACAGGCAGCTTCTCTCTGCAGACTTTTCCCTGATCAATAGTTGCAAGTAAAACAGTATCTTTAAAATTCGTTTTATTGTGAAATGTATAGAGTGTATAAATGTATACATACAGTTTATGTACTAATAATAAAGTGAACATCCGTGTACCCACCACCCAGGTTAAGAAATAGAGCATTGCCAGTTCCTTACAAGTCTCCTATGTGCCCCTGTCCGATTGCCTCCTCTTCCCTCTCCCGAGAGGTAATCACTTTCCTGACTTTTGTGATAACCATTCCCTTGCTTTTCTTTATAGTTTTACAACCTGTGAACGTATCCTTAATTAATATATTGTTTAATTTCGCTTAGTTTTGAATTTGTATATAATGCAATCATGCTATTTTCTTTCATTCAATATGTTTTTGGGTTTTACTCATGTTGATAAGTATAGTTACAGTCCATTTGTTTTCACTGCTATAAAGTTGTCTGTATACTGTGGTTTATTTATCTGTGTTCTTAGTTTGTTTCTAGTTTTTTGCCCCCCGGAATAGCTTGCTCTGGCCATTCTTGTATGTATCTCTTAGTTCACAGGAAAAAGAGTTTCTCCAAGTACATACCTAGGAATGGAATTGCTGGATCATAGGGTAATGATGAATTGTTTTCCAGGTTATCAGTTTACTCTCCTACCAGCAGTATCTGAGAGTTCTCATTGCTCTTGCCCACCTTGGATATTACTGAATTTCCAAGTAATTACATACTTATTTCCAAATAATTTCCAAGTGATTACTTGTTAGGTAATTACATACTTAAGTTTTAGCCAATCTGCTGAGTCTGAAATGGTAGTTTTAATTTGCATTTCTCTCATTATTAATGAAGTTCAGCTTCTTTTCTCATCTATGTGCCATTCAGAGGTCCTCTTTTGTGAAGTGCGTGTTAAAGTCTTTGACTCATTTTTCTTTTGATTTGCTTTTTTTCTAATTGATTCGTGTGAGTCCTGAATCTTAATCCTTACTTTTAGTTGTGTGTGTTGCAAATTTTTTCCCCAAGTTTGCAGTTTTTTCACTTTTTTCAATGACATGTTTTGATGACCATTTCTTTTAATCTAATCGGGTATCTTTTGCTTATGGTTTGTGCTTTTGTTATGCTTAAGAAGTCTCTCTGTCCTCCAGAGTCGTGATTGTGCTTAGCTCTGTTTTCTTCTGAAGTGCATCATTTCGTGTTTCATGTTCAGGTCTTCATCTGAAATTGATTTTTGTGTGTGGCATGAGGTGGGGTCCAGTTTCATTTTTCCATACGGAGAACCAGTTGTTGCAGCCCTGATTTTGATAATTCCCTCCTCCCCTCTCTGTGCCGCCCCACATCTGTCGTAGATTAGCTGTCCATTTATGTGTAGGTCTGTTCTGGGCTCTTGGTTTTGCCCCACGGGTTTATATGACACTGTTGTAATGATGAGAGTTTTACACTGAGCTTCTTAGGTAGCATGAATCCCGTCCACCTTGTTTCTCTTCAAGAAAGTCTTGGCTTTTTTAAACTCTTAATATTTCCATTGAATTTAGAATCAGCTTTTCAAGTTTTATTAAAAAAAAGTTGATTTTTTTTTTTATTGGAATTGCATTGAATCATAGGTCAATTTGGGGAAGAATTTACATTTTGTAAACATTGAGTCTTCCAATCTATGAGCATGGTATATGCCCCTGCTATTTAGGCCTTGTCTTTCTGTCAAGTTTTATAAATTTATAAATTCATCTGGTGTCTTGAACATATTTTTTAGATGTATTCTAAGTGGTTTTTGATGCTATTGAAAATATGTTTTAAAGATTTTCTTTTCTAGTTGTTTTTTCCTGGTATATAAAATGTAATTTGTTTTTCATATTACTTTGTTATCTGTGAAACTTGCTAAATTCTTATTAATTTATAGATTGTTTTAGATTTTCTCTCTTGGCAATAATGCTTGTGTTTTTTCCGACAATATTATTATTTGTAAGTGGCATTTTTTTCCCTTTCTTGATCCTGGAATGCTTCCAACTTCTTTTCCCATGCCTCAGACTTGTGCTTTTGTCTTGTATTTCTTGTCTTTTTGTTTGATCCGCAGACATCATTGTTAATTTTGCATGATACAGTTCATTTGTTTACATTTACTGCATGCATTTCCGGAATCACTTTTCTTTTGTTTGAAGTCCACCCTTTAGAGTCTCCTGCACTAGACGTTTGCTAGTAACAGATTTTCTCAGTTTTTGTTTGTTTGAAAAGGTCTTTACTTTATTCTTCTTGAAAGTTAATTTCTTAGGATATAGAATTCTAGACTGACAGTTATGTTCTCTCAGCAATTAAATAAGTCATGTATCGCTTAATGACGGGTGTGTTCTGAGAAATGCGTCACTAGACTATTTTGTCCTTGTGCAAACATCATGGAGTGTACTCACGTGAACCTAAATGGTGTAGCCTGCTACACTCCTAGGCTATGAGGTACTGATCTTATGGGCCCACCATTGTGGTCTGTCGTTGAGGGGAACGTTGTTATGTGGCACACGTGACTGTGTATCTTTCTGGCTTCTGTGGTTGCTGTTGGGAAGTCAGCTGTCTGTCTCACTCTTGCTTCTTTGCAGGTAATCCTTGTTTTTTCTCTGGCCGATTTTAAGATCTCATTGGTTTGGTTTGATGTCCTGCGTTTCATTGTAGTAGGTCCCAGTGTGGATATCTTTGTATTTATCCTGCCTCAGCTTTGTTGGGCTTCTTGGCTCTGTGTTTGGTATCTTCCATGGCACAGTGAGTAAGAGCACAGAGTTCGAGAGCCAGGCTGCCCCTAGTTTGAGTTTGAGCCCTGCCCTTTGCTAGTTCTCTGACTTTGGGCTGGTACTGGCCTCCCTGCGTCTCAGTTGTCTCGAATGTAGCATGGGGATGGTAATGATACCTGCCCCATAGGATTGTTATGAAGGTCCAAGGTGAATACACCTGAAGCCAGCAAAAGCTTCCCCTTCGCTTAGCATAACTGCCTTCACTAGATTTCCTCCTTAGTATTTCTTGTTTCTTTGCCAGTTTGTTGATGATTTTCAAGAAGATGTTTTTTATATTTAATCCAGCAGTTTTAGTTGTTTTCAATGGCGCAGTGTGTCTGGTAACTAATTTGTCATTATTGCTAGAAGCTGAGGCTCTGAAGCCTCATCTTTCTATGTTCAGAGCACGTGTGTTCTCTGGCCGGCCTGCATGCACTCCCTCTCCCTTTTGCACACGTGAGTGGCCTGTATGCAGTTGTATTTCACAAAGCCTCAGTAGTGAAATCCTCAGCCAGTTCAGTTTTGTCACGGCCATCAGCAGAGTGTGGCTGAAGAGAAAACCAGTTGAACAAGAGCATTTTGTCTCAGGAGAATTTTGACTGTGTGTCTTTGGGTCAGGAAACATTCGGCGCAGCCTCTTGCATCTTGTGCGTGTATCTGTGCTCTGGCAGGAGCTGATACTTGTGATGAGAAACCTGAAATAGCACAAGGTGCTGAAGTACTCCAGGCTGGGTGCATTCACTGCACTCAGTAAGCCGAGAAAGTGACTTCTGCTTTGGAAGGATGGCTAGTGGTGGTCGTTGGAAAAGATCTTTCTCCCTCCTTCAGTTCCTGATTGAGGGAAGACTTGATTCCCTGAGTCTGGCGATGGGTTTAGAACAAGAGTTTATGGGACCTTTGTAACTATTACTGGGAGTAAGCGCTTTGGACCCCCGTTGTGCCCATCAGATCGTAGCCCCCGATGTGCAGAGGTTCTGAGAGTGGGGATTGGTGATTCTCGGTGTGAGCAGTCTTGCCAGAATTTAATATGAAGACGTATTGTGCTTCCTGACAGTATCAGGTAGCTCATGTCAACTTCACTGCCTTTCTGCTTTGCCCCAGTTGCAAGCAGAGGCCCCCAGGCTGGCCGAATATCAAGCGTACATCGATTTTGAGGTGAAAATCGGCGATCCTGCTCGCATTCAGTTGATCTTTGAGCGTGCCCTGGTGGAGAACTGCCTCGTTCCAGACTTATGGATCCGCTACAGTCAGTACCTAGTAAGATCGCTTACCTGTTCTAATTTCATTTTACTTTTACCAGTTTACGATCTGTTTAGAGAAAACCAGTAAGAGTGCCAGGAGTTAGTTGCATGCTGCTCCTCTCTGCTCTTTCTTTTTTTCCTTCCTCCTCCTATTCCTCTTTTTGCCAGCTCACTTATGAAGTTCTCTTAGTGTTTTTTTTAACTTTTTTGCTGAGGAAGATTCTCCCTGATCCAGCATCCACTGCCAATCTTCCTCTTTTTGTATGTGAGCCAGCCCACAGCATGGCCACTGAGACACGAGTGGTGCAGGTCCATGCCCAGGAACCGAACCCAGGCTGCCGAAGCAGAGTGCACTGAACTTAACCACTCGGCCACCAGGGCTGGCCCCTCTCTCCTGGTGTTTTAAGTGATTTTAAACTGATCACTAAGTGTATAAAAAAAATTCGCATAGTCTTACTATTGAGGACTTTATAAGAGGTTAATTTTTTCTTTTAACTTTTTATTATGGAAAAATGTGAACACGTAAATATAGACAGATTAGTAAAATGAAACCTCGTGTACTCATCACCCAGCTTCAACAGTTAACTAATGGCACTGGTCTAGTTTCGTCTCCATCCTTCCTTACTTCCCCCCTTCCATGTTATTTTGAAGCTAATTGTTTTTGAAGAAATCACACGTACAAAAATATTTTGTAAATATTTCAGTATGTATTTATGAAAGACTTGAATCAGGATCCAAACAAGGTCCATGCGTTAGGATTGGCTGAGGTCTCTTCAGGCGCTGTTAGTCTATAGGTCCTACTCTCTATCTTTTTTCTTCTCCTCTCCCACTCCCCCTTGCGATGTCTTTGTTAAAGAAACCAGTCACGAGAGATGTTTTCGAGGAAGTTTCTTTTGTCAGTTGATTGTGCTGGAGGAAATGTCTCACGCATGGTGAACTCTTAATAAAATTTTATCTTCTCACCCTGGAATTCTTTATCACAGGATCGGCACCTGAAAGTGAAGGATTTGGTGTTATCTGTGCATAACCGTGCTGTTCGAAACTGCCCCTGGACAGTTGCCCTGTGGACTCGGTACCTCTTGGCCATGGAAAGACACGGAGTTGATCACCGAGTGATTTCTGGTGTGAATGTTTTTGTGGGAAGACGTCATAGCCCTTTGTTCCAAGTCAGAAACATAGCGCTGTGACAGAGTCATTAAACGAGCCTTCCCCAGGGTGTTACTTTGGGTATCGGGTATTAGTGATGAAAAGGACTCTAAGTGGGAGATGAACTGGTTATATTTTTGACTTCTTAGAGCTTTTTAACATGCTCATATTCATCGTGATTTTCCAGGAAGTCACGGTCTTTTCTCCAAACTTACTTGGCCTGGAACCCTTTTGTTGCAGAGTATCTTGTGGAACGTGCCCTTTCTAGAGCACAGTTTATGCAACGCTCTAGTAGCTTTTCTTTTGGACATGTCTCTCTAGCTCATTTCACTTTGTTCCATCTTATTACTATTATTACTAATTTAAGCCATATAGTATTTTATGGTCAGTGGAGGTTTTTATAATAATCTTGATAACTTTGAAGTAGCTTCTTTTTGAATTGGCAACAAATCCTGGCTTTTTCTTCAACTCCAGTGACCTTCGAGAAAGCTTTGAGTGCTGGCTTCATTCAGGCCACTGATTATGTGGAGATTTGGCAGGCCTACCTTGATTACCTGAGGAGAAGGGTTGATTTCAAACAAGGTATTTAAATTCACATGTTTCCCTTCAGAACTGAACTTTTTCTTAACCTATCTTTCGGTGACATGTCCCAGTTGCCCAGATACATTGCGATTGGGCAAATGCTGTAGGCCAGCCACTGGTAATTTTCCCCTGAGACATGTTAGCTGTTTAAGTCTTTATCAGGCCATGCTGTGGATTGTAAAGGAAGCGAGTAATGGTCTTTACATTTTATGCTGGCTCCTGCATCCTCTGTAGTCTCATCTCTCTTTTCTCCCTTCTCTGTCTCCTAAATAGTTCTTTAAATAAGACTGCTGTGTTTCTGTTAAAACTTGGAACCTCTGCAGGGTCCCCTGCCCTTCTCCCCTCCTCCCTCAAAATAATAGCAGCCAGAACCCCCATGTCTCACTTGTCCTTGCACACTCATGCAGGTGGCCTTCAGCCATTCTACTAGCTAGGGGAGACGCCCTCTCCTGAGGTCCCACACACAGCACCCCGTGCTCACCTTTGTGGCGTATTGTCCGAAATGTGCTCTGTTCCGGTGTCTTTCTCCCCCACTGTGTGCTGAGGGCAGGGACTGGCAATTTTCTGGGTTCCCAGCATGATACCAGATGCAGAACAGCCTGGGGTTTCAGTGTAGGGTTAAAAAAAAGACATGGTGTGTGGTTTTGTAATGCCAAACCTCTTTTGCACTTCCTGGCAGACTCCAGTAAAGAGCTGGAAGAGTTGAGGGCTGCGTTCACGCGCGCGTTGGAGTACCTGAAACAGGAGGTGGAAGAGCGTAAGTGGGGCCCCAGCTTGTCCGCTTGTCTCCCGTTCTCGGTGGCTGTGCCTTTCAGTCAAGTGCTCTTTGTCTCTGAGTTACTTTCTAATTTTGACTCATTCTTCTGAAAGGTTTCAATGAGAGCGGCGATCCAAGCTGCATGATCATGCAGAACTGGGCTCGGATGGAGGTAAGTGTTCCTGGGTTCCCTCCACCTTTGAAGGACCTCTGTCTAAGTGTGGCTGAAGTTGAGTCAGAAGCCAGATGGTCTGGGCTCTGTCTCGCTTGATGCGTGTCCGTTTGTCTTAGTGAAAACGTCAGCTCCCAGGTAGAAGCTGTGCAGGAGCTGCCCGCCAGGCACATGCTCATGTGCTCCCCACCCCCGCCTCATTCGTGAGTGCACACCACGCGTGCGCTGTTTGCCAGGCACCTTCCTCGGCACCGGGGAAATGAGGTGGAAACAGTCCCTGCGCTAGTGAGGCTTAATCTAGTGTGGAGGACAGACGATTTGACGAGTAATTAGAGGGTATGATGAGTTGAATGTTATCTCTGGACCCAGGGCCCCAAGGTGAGTAAGATGTGGAACCTGCCCGTGCTCAGCTTACGGAATTGTAAAATCCTAGTGTTTGATTCTCTGAGGGGGAGTCAGGGCAAAGACAGGGAGTTTCTGGATGGGATGTCTGTGCTGTAGCATTTTAAAGCTGAGGTGCCTGAGGCTCAGAGAGGTCAAGGAACGTGCCCAGGTCACTTTGTAAGTGGCAGAGCCAGCGTTTGCTCCTGAATCAGTCTGCCTTTGTTACACATTGCTTCTCAAATGAAATATTTGTAGTTAAGCTTGATAAAACTAAAAACCAGCTGAGCAGCCGTTCTGCCATACGTGCCTGTGGGCTCCTGTCCCGTGCGCTCCTGCCCCGTGTGCTCTGGCGGCTCAGGCAGCTGCCTGGAGGCTTGGCACTGCAGAGAGGCTGGGCTGGTGGGCTGGGCCTGGTCCCCTGGAGGCGGCCCGAGAATGCCGGGAGGTCTGTAACCCTGTGGGTTAGGGCAGCTTTGTAGGCGTGTCTGTGTGGAGTATTTGGAATGGGTGTCCACATTGTAAGGTTGAGTCCTTTCCTCACTGAGCCTTCTGATGCATTTCAGGCTCGACTGTGCAATAATATGCAGAAAGCTCGGGAACTCTGGGATAGCATCATGACCAAAGGAAATGCCAAGTATGCCAACATGTGGCTGGAGTATTACAACCTGGAAAGGTAATGGACCTGCGGCCGGGGAGGCGGCGCTTGTCAGGCGTGAGGCGGCTTCAGGCCTGGCTGCCTCCTGCCAGCGTGGGCTTCCTCCTTCCAGTAGGCTCAGTCCTTTATCACCGTCCCTCTCCCTCTCTGGACTGGCTTTGTGTTTCTTGGGCGGGGCTAGAGAGTCACGTAGTCTTGTGCCTGGGCTGCTCTTAGAGCCATGCACTTCCTTCAGTTTGATACTTTGGTTGGTTTATTTTGATTTTTGGACATGAATAATTTCTTTGACTTTTTGGGGAGCTTTTTATTTTTTATACTTGTTTTGTATATAAAAGTAGAAAATACTGCAAAAAAAGCAAAGAGGAGAAAAACCTAAATTGCCTGCAATGATAAACCCAGACATAACCACCTTTAGTTAAAGGTTTGAGTATGTTCTTTGAGATTTTTCTATGCTTAAATTTTTTAAAAATGAAAATGCAGTTATAGTGTACATGTTACGAACCTCTAAAATTATTTTAAATATGTAAGATACGCTGAATAGTATTTATAACATGAGGAAGATACAAAGAATGTGACCAGTTTTTTAACTCAGTATCTCTTGAACGTTGCACATCAATAAATATATTTCTGTGTTACCTTTTTTCTGTTTTGAATATTTTGGTTTTTCCCCCCCCAACTTACAAAATAATGGGTACTCAAAATAGAGCATTTACAAAAATGTGCTAGGAAGTGAAAGTTTCTTATTTTCCCATCCCCACGGATGACCACTATTGAAGCTCCTCGAATGTTCCTCCACATGAGCAGTTCCCAAACTTTTTGGTCTCAGGACCTCTTTACAACTCTTAAAATTTGAGGACCCCCCCCAAAAGCTTGTTTATGTGAGGTATATCTATTAATATTTACGTGTTAGAAAATAAAACTGAGAAATTTAAAAAACCTTTTTATTCACTTAAAAATAAATTTATTACATTTAACATAAATAATGTATTTTCTAATGAAAAATAACCCTTTTCCAACCCCCAAAATGATTTAGTGAGAAAAGTGACTTGGTGGTATAATTTTTTGCAAACATCTTTAGTTTGGCGTAGAAGACGACACTGGGTTCTCGTGTCTGTTTCTGCATTCACTGCTGTGATGTTTTCATTGACCAATATGAAGAAAATTTGGCCTCACACAGATGGGAGGTTAGAAAAGAGAGGGGCATATTGTAATAGTCTTTTGACATAATTGTGGATATTCTTTCATAGTGCAGCAAAGTTCAACAAGTTGTGGTTTCCTAAAAGTCAGTTGCAGTGTGGCATGTGACTTTTTCAGACTCTGTTACATTTTGTCCAGTGGTCCGTTGTGCACCTTGGGTGGGCCTTTTGCCCACGCATGGCTCTGTGGCGTGCCTTGTCCGTTGGAAGATGCTGACTCACTGTCATGCAGCTCTCCCAAATAGTGACTCATTATACAGTATAAAAAGTCACACTGGTTCATCTCACTGGCACACAGTGGCAGACACAAGTTTTCCAAAATTCTGATTTTCACTCGAAAGCTTGAATTTTACCACTGGCAACAAATACTGTCAGTGGTTTTCCTTCAGTGACAGACTCACTTCGTTGGTTTTTAAAAATGTCTGCCAGATACCCAGGTCTGAATAACCATAGTTTTTGTCACTCAGCTGTTCTCCCAAGTAAAAATGACGTTCCATGTAAAGAGTAACTAGTTGGGCTTGCGACCCAAACAGTAACATATTATTTTCTTTGTGACAGCCATTGTACTTGGGTATGCATAAAGAAGTGCTGATGTGTGCATCCCCTTGTACACACAGAATATTAAGATATGTACTGCCTTGACTGGTGCCAAGAACCACCGCAGCTTTTGCTCCCTCAGTGCAAATGTCAACACAGTGAAACAGCTGAACAATGGTTTGGTATTATGCAGCTGCTTTTGACTTTGCAGACCCTCAGTGGCCCATGGATCACACATCAAGAACCCCTGCTCTGAAGTTTTTCTTAGCGTCCTAATACGTGTTACAGTTTTTATAAATATTTTTTTGTGAGGAAGATTGGCCCTGAGCTAACATTTGTTGCCAATCCTCCTCTTTTTGCTTGAGGAAGAGTGTTGCTAAGCTAACGTCTGTGCCAGTCTTCCTCTATTTTGTGTGTAGGGCCCTGCCACCAGCATGGCATGATGAGCAGTGTATAGGTCTATGCCTGGGCCCTGAACCTGCGAACCCCAGGCTGTCGAAGCAGAGTGCACGAACTTGACCACTATGCCACGGGGCCAGCCCCATGCAATCTTTATAAATTTTTTTTTTTTATTAAATATCTTATTTGCGTATCTAGTTCTTTTTTATTTATTTATTTATTTATTTATTTTTTAAGATTGGCACCTGGGCTAACAACTGTTGCCCATCTTTTTTTTTTCCCCCCTGCTTTATCTCCCCAACCCCCCCCCCGTACACTGTTGTATGTCTTAGTTGCAGGTCCTTCTAGTTGTGGGATGTGGGACGCTGCCTCAGCGTGGCCTGACGAGCAGTGCCATGTCTGCGCCCAGTGTCTGAACCCTGGGCCGCTGCAGTGGAGTGCGCGAACTTGACCACTTGGCCACGGAGCCGGCCCCATATAAAATTTTTTAAAACAGAAATGAGAACATGGTGTCTCATAACTGTTGTAACTACCAGAATATCGTTTTGTAACTTTAGTGATTAGCAGGATATCTTTCCATGCCAGTGCAGAAAGATCTGGCTATCGGCATGAAATTTGACGGTCGCCTGGATGAGTCATTTCTTCCCTGGGGTAGGACTGCCTCATAGAATTTCTCTAGAGACTTTGTCAAGTTACGTAGCGTTCTTAGACCCCCTCAGTGAGTGGCACAGGTGAACACTGTAAAGACAGAACAGCTGGTTGCAGCCCGCTGTCCCCGATGCATTTTCTAGCGGCACCTCCTTGCTAAGCAAAATAGTGGTTTAGAAGAAAGCCTCGGGTTTTGACTAGAGGGACTCTTGTGGAAAAGGGAGAAGACGTTAAAATTAGCAGTAGTATGAATAGCTGTGGACATTTCTGGAAGTTAGAGTCGCAGAAGCTAGAGTCGTCACAGCTCTGGTGCTGTGGCACTGCTGTGAGAACACCGCCCCTCCCTTTGTGTGCCTTCCGCTTTGTGTCCTGTGGCAGCAGCTGTGTGTTTTCTGCCCTAGGGCGCACGGCGACACCCAGCACTGCAGGAAGGCCCTGCACCGGGCCGTCCAGTGCACCAGCGACTACCCAGAGCACGTCTGTGAGGTACTGCTCACCATGGAGAGGACAGAAGGTGGGGACCCGTGGCTTTCTGCGTCTGGCTTGGAGTCTGTCTCATTTCCCGTTTGGTCTCCAGACCGTGGGCTGTCAGGATAGACTGCTCACGGCTGCAGCCCCTGCAGTGGGCCTCTGTGATGAGACTGCCATGGGGCGCTCACAGTGAGAGCCGGTCCTCAGATTCTCCACAGACAAGGCCTCTGCGATGGAGCCCTAGCACGGGTGCTCGCAGCTCTTTGTGGGGGGCTGTCCTGGGCGTTGGAGGGCCTTTAGCAGAGCGCTGGCCTCCCCACCAGGCGCCCATGGCACTCCTCCCCGCCCCAGTCATATCAACTCAAGTGTCTCCGGACGTTGCTGAATGGTCCCTGGGGTCAGGAACCTCTACTCCAGCACGATGTCACGCACGCTGAGGGAGTGCAGAGGCAGACGCTGAATGTGTCCTCTGGTCACGTGTGCAGCGCTTGTCCAGTTTCAGAGGCTCAGTACGAAGTTTCCAGCAGGAAAAGAGTGAATTTATCTGTGCGCATCGGTCTCGATTTAGGGTGTGAACCCCTCAGAACTCGAAATTAAAAGCCCCAAACGACAACAACAAATTACAGACCGCCTCAACATTTATCTTTGAGGAGCTTCGAGAGTTCATGTGAATGTCTGGTACCTTTTGGATTAGAATGTGTGCACAGTCTTTGCCATGGAGAGCCCATAACAGATCACTTTCTGGTTTTCAAGTCTCTTTTCTAAAAGAGAAGGGACGTTTTAAGTGCAACTTGGGGGACTCTCTGAATTCTAAAACTCCCAGCCCATATAATGAAACCATCTTAAACTGGGGAGCTCACTCTCCAGTTCTCACTGTCTGATGGGAGAGGGCTCTTCCCGAGGCGTGGGGAAATGCTGAGAATTTCATATGATGTCCTTCAAAATCTTAGAAAGTGAAAGTTTGCTTCTCTTTCTCTCAAGGTACTTTAGAAGATTGGGATGTAGCTGTTCAGAAAACGGAAACTCGATTAGCTCGTGTTAATGAGCAGAGAATTAAGGTAACGATGCTGTTTGTTTAAAGTCTCTGGAACCCCAGTAGCTCTTTTGACTGTGTTTGGTGTGAACATTTCTTGTCAAAATCTTTGAGGTCCTCTTAGGAAGTGTCATGTGCTCAGTGTATTAATTATAAAATATTTGAATCAATATTTAAGCCTGTCTTGTATCACTTTTTTAGATTAGCTTAAAACGTTAGCCCCAACAATACTTTTTATACGTGGGGGCATTTTGGCCCTGAAGTTTACTGGAATAGATGAAAAAGATAAAAAAGGAGCCAGCTCAGTGACTGGAACATGAACATCCCGGATTAATTGGGGCCCCAGTTTTAGGGATTTTTCCCCCTTTCTTTTGGTGAGTAATTACTGGGGCTATCGTGAAACATGCCGTAGACTGGAGAGACAGCGTCCTAGGCAGCCCGAATAGGCCGTGGCAGTGGGACGTTGTGAGCACGTCCTCCTCGTCTTTTTCACGACCTCATCCTCTCACTGGGGGAAAGACCACTGGGTCACGAGCCAGGAGCGTCCCTGTAATTGCTGCTACCAGCGATGTGTCGCATTCCTGATTTTCCAGGCTGCGGAGAAGGAAGCAGCCCTCACCCAGCAAGAGGAAGAAAAGGCCGAACAACGCAAGAGGGCCCGGGCCCAGAAGAAAGCTCTGAAGAAGAAGAAAAAGACCAGGGGTGGAGACAAGCGCAAAGCAGATGAGGGCGAAGAGAAGGAGTGGGGCGATGACGAGGAAGGTAAAGCTTTTCAGAAATGTTCACAGCATCGCAGACTTGCAGAGAACTGAAACAGCACAAAGAAGCTTTTTCTTGAGTCATTAGAGAACAAGGTGCTTGCATGGTGCCCCAGCACCCTTCCTGCCCCTGCCCTCCCAGAGGGTGCCCTCCTCCCCTGCTCGGGCTGCGTGCCCTGTGCCAGGCGCCACCCTGCACACACACCCTCCCTGCAGTGCGCCGTAGCCACCGCTGCCCTCCTGTGTGCACCCCCTCCCCCTGCTCGGGTTCCCGTACGCCATGCCGTCCCTCTCTCTGCCCCACTTGTGGATGTGCCCTTTATCCGCTGCAGACCCCAGCACACACACCTGCCTTGCTTGGCCCCACCTCATGGTTTTGACTTGGTAGAATTTTCCAGTGAGCGTCTCTGTCACCCCTCTAACTTCAGGGATTGGCGAGTATGGGTCAGATTTATTTCAGCACAGTCAGTCAAGGTAAAGAATTGTCTCCAGACGTGAAAGGACTGTACGTTTTCCTCGTACCAGCTTGTCGGCCAGGGGACAGTGGTAATGGAGTCTTCACTCAGTTGCCGTTTCTCACGCACCTTTCTAGGGCCTTCAGAAATTACTGTGGGTAGCTCACTGCCCTTCGGAGCTCCTGGTTTAGCAGAGTCAGGCAAATGTGCCATGGGACCACGGTGGCATGTAATTGGGACCGTGGGAGGTGTAGGTGCGGATGCGGTGAAGGCCCGAGAAGGCGCTGGTGGGGTGGCTCCCCGCAAGGAAGAGCTCTTGGGGAAGCGGTGCGTGCGCTGTGGCGGCTGGGGGTTGGGGTGAGCAACCGTCCAGTGGGAGGACGGGAAGGGAGGAGAGCCAGCGTCAGCAAAGCGCGAGGCATGGACCAGCCTGGCATTTTCTGTGAGCTGCAAATGGCTGTGCTTCGGCTGTCTCTGGAAGGACATAAGACAACTTTGGGAGTTGTTAGGAACCACAGTGCTTTGTAGAACTTTCCGGAGTGTGGCCTGTGGAGCACGCGCCAGTCACTTGAGGCACTTGTTGAACGCGGGTCCCCAGGCCCCATCGCACCATGGCTGCCCTGGTCTTCTAGGGGAGGGGCTCTGGGACACCGTCAGGACTGGGAGACCCCACCCCTTATAGAATTCAGAGTGGACGATGAGGACTTATGTCATCACTTCCACTTGATTTAGTCCACCTACCTGAATGCATCGGGGCCCAGAAAGGGGTGGGACAGGGCAGGTGGGTCAGGACAGCCGTGACAGAGGGCGTGGTCCGTGCAGCGCAGCGTCTGGAGAGCAAGGAGTGTTTGCGCGCAGCGTTGCACGTCAGCCACTTGTCGTGGGAAGAGTCTTCCACTCACACCTGTGCTGAACAGCTCGCCGAAGAGAGGAAACGATTCAGTAATCGTTGCTGCTTCTCTCTTGTCACCTTGCAGAGCAGCCTTCCAAACGCAGGAGGCTTGGGAACAGCGTTCCTCCAGCTGGAGACGCACAAGGCCTGGAAGCGCAAATGGGACTCTTTGGGAAAAGTGCACCCGGAGATGTCGACTCCCCCTCAAAGCAGAAGGAGAGGGCGGCCGCCCTGAAGAGGGACATGCCCAAGGTGCTCCATGACAGCAGCAAGGACAGCATCACCGTCTTCGTCAGCAACCTGCCCTACAGCATGGGGGAGCCGGCCGCGCAGCTCCGGCCGCTCTTCGAGGCCTGTGGGGAGGTGGTCGACGTCCGCCCCATCTTCAGCAGCCGGGGCGACTTCCGGGGCTACTGCTACGTGGAGTTTAAAGAGGAGCGGTCGGCCCAGCAGGCCCTGGAGCTGGACCGGAAGGACGTGGAGGGGAGGCCCATGTTTGTCTCCCCCTGTGTGGATAAGAGCAAGAATCCCGATTTCAAGGTACGCTTGTGGAAGAATGCCTTTCATGTAGGGTTGCTGTAGACAGACTGTAGGTACTTTTCCCGCAGGAAGTAATATTTAGAATATGTGTGGAATTTCTCTACCCTGTTAAGAGCTAAACTTCCATGTTAACCGACATCTGTCCTGAGCTGGTTAACTGAGGTCCTAGTCACGCCTCGCTCACTTGGAGCTTGCAGTAGTTGATAAATGATGATAAAATTAGGAGTTGTAATAACGGCTACTTTCCATTGAATAGTTAGGAATGACAAGGGACCGCGCTCAGTGTTTCGTATATGACCTCATGGGATGCTCCCCCAGCATCCAGACTCTGAGAATGTGACTTTTGTTCTTGCCATTTTATGGAAGAGGCTTTGAGAGGTTAAGTGACTTGCCCAGAGTGACCCTGTTGACAATTTACGTCCCCCAGAGTCGGATCTGGTCTCTGGCTGGGGCGAGGCCTGTGGAGGGGCGGTAGGCTGGAGCGTGGCCTGCTGGCCTGGGTCTCGGTGATTTTCTTGCCCTCCTTCTTCCTGTAGGTGTTCAGGTACAGCACTGCCCTGGAGAAACACAAGCTGTTTGTCTCGGGTCTCCCTTTTTCCTGCACTAAAGAGGAACTAGAAGAGATCTGTAAGGCTCATGGCACTGTGAAGGACATCAGGCTGGTGACCAACCGGGCTGGCAAACCAAAGGTCAGTGTCCGAGCAGACAGCGTGAAGCTCCTGAGGCTCGGGCGAACCTCCTGCATCTGTTCAGAGATGGTTTGGTTCGAGAGCGCGTTCCCATTTGTCTGCTGAGAGACAAGTGATAAGTAACAGAAGGGGAGGCACGCTGGGCTCTCCTGACATTTGGAATCATTTAGTACTAAAGCTTTTCACAAACAACTACCAGGAATTAGCAGGGGCCACAGTGCGGACCCCAGGCTGTGGGGCGTCAGCGTGGGGTGGCCTCCTCCCTCTTGCCCACACTCCTCTTTCCCACTAGGCCTCCAGCCACCGCAAGTCCCTCCGCCAGCGTCCCCTTATCACGTCCTCTCCTCTAGTCCTCAGCCTCTTGTTAAATCCTTTGCACCACATTTTGAGTAGTGTTGGTTAAGCATGAGTTTGGATTACCTCTTTAACTGCCCCCCGTCCAGGTTAATCGAGAGTTGGAGAGTGTGAAATAAGGGAGGGGTCGAGGGCCTCTGGGCTGCTCACCCCGTGTCCAGGCCACCTCATGTGTTTGCTTGCTGGATGTGTACCGGTTTGTGTGTCTGGTTCTTTCTTGTGCTGGAGTAAGCAGAAGATTTACTGAACTTAGAAAGGTTCCCTAAGTTACAGTCAGTGGCAGAAATCGGGAGGAAGAGCAGGGCAGGGAAATAAACCTGCAGGCAGAAGCTGGGGGCCGTGGGGCAGGCAGCCCACGGTGGGGCGCCTGTCCTGGGCCGGCCTCCTGACCTGAGGACGAAGTTGCGTCCTGCTTCCGCAGCCCGACCCCGCTCTGGGTTCTGCCTCTTCCAGGGCCTGGCCTACGTGGAGTACGAAAACGAGTCTCAAGCGTCTCAGGCTGTGTTGAAGATGGACGGCATGACTATCAAAGAGAACGTCATCAAAGTGGCCATCAGCAATCCTCCTCAGAGGAAAGTTCCGGAGAAGCCAGAGGCAAGGAGAGCACCAGGCGGCCCCATGGTGCCGCGGCAGATGTATGGAGCGTAAGTGTTGGCATGCTAGCCCAGTGCAGGCTGTCCTGGCCGGTGCCACGGTGAATTCGTTTCCTGTCAGGACAGGGAGGCAGGACGGAAAGCCAGGGCCTGCTGTCCCCTGTAGTTCCCTGGAGCAGGTCCACGCAGAGTGCAAGCCCAGAAGTGGACCTCCTCCTGGCGTTTGCCAGTTTACGCCTGTCATTTATTTAAGGTCAGATTCTTTTCAGGCAGTGATTATTTTAAAGTCTTCTTTGCCGGTTGAATCCATACGTTTAGAACAAAAGCTCATGGCCACATGCCTGCCAGGGCAATCTACAGCTCCAGCTGTAATCGTGAAGGCTGTGTTTTCACCTGGTAGGGATGAGACAGCAAAATCGCCAGGTTGTTTGATGAGGTCTAGAAGATGACAGCCGTTTTTATCCATCCTGCGGGTGACTGTGTGGCACAGTGTTGGCCCTTGCCAAAACTGAAAAAGGCAGTTACTTAAAGTGATCTTTACTTGATAGCCAGAATTAAGGAGACAGGATCGTCTTGTCCTTGTTTTTCATCCGTCACCTTTTAACTCTGAGTGATTGAACCTGTCCTGGCTTATTTCTGCGAACAGACCAGGGGCCACGACTTGTTGCTTTGAAAGGCTACATGCAGTGTTTGCTCTTTCAGGCGGGGGAAGGGGAGGACCCAGCTGTCTCTGCTGCCTCGCGCCCTGCAACGCACGAGCGCGCCAGCGGCTCAGGCCGAGAACGGCCCTGCCCCGCAGCCAGCAGCCACCGCGGCCACCGAGGCGCCCAAGATGTCCAATGCCGATTTTGCCAAGTTGCTTCTGAGAAAGTGAACGAGACTCTCAGAGAAGGGAAATGCCTTACTTCATGCTGGCCAGGACGACCACCGGGGAGCCAGCTGTACCCTGGGTATGGAAGGGCCGGGGACAGTGCCCGCGCCCGCGTATCTGCCTCTGGCTTAGACAGAAAGGGAAAGGGGGTCCAAGGAGAGGCGTCCAGTGCTCCCTCATATTGAGGGCAATCGGAGGAAAACGATCACTCCACAGGTCGGGCACAGAGTGTAGTTTCTAAGATATTTTTGTGTCTTAAAGAGTGAGAAACAGAAGTGAAACTCAGACGCACCGTTTTGAGACCCACTTGTCCAAATGTTTTTGGCCACCTCTGGCCCCTTTTTATAGGACACTTCTCTTACACCCTGCACAGCACAGGTGCCCGTCACTCTTTTAATTTTTAAAAGACAAAATGGCAGATGCTAGTAATTCACCAGAATGGCCTATTTTAGTAACGGGGTGGGGATAGGGGAAGTCACATACAAAACATTGGATGGATTTTTGTTCAAGGGGGCTGTGTGTTTTTATATTATGTATTTGTAAATGACACGTCAACCCGTTGTTTTATGTTTCCTAAAAGCAAAATATTTGTGACACTTGTTTTATAGCAATTCTGTGTGCCACCTGCTGTGGACCATTTTCTTTGCCTAGTGACGAGTGAACTTGTTCTTTGTCTAAATATTGAGTTTCAGCCCTTTGGTTTTGTTTAAATACCATGTCAAGTGCAAACTTAAATTGTCCCCATTTAGCTTTGTTTATTAAACTGAAGTTCTCTTCAAAAATTCTTGCCGAATGGTACTCAGATGTGCATTCAAATATGGATGTATTTTGAAATGGGTGTACCTTGCTTTCTCTAATAGATGTGTAAATAGAATTTTTTGTAAATCAAATCCTGTTGTCACTTGGATTTACATAATTTCAGCTATGATGTGTCTTCAGTTTCAAACTTCATCTTACACAGTTTGACACTTTTTTACCCCTTCTCTTTGATCAAATATTTATTGCTTTGAAAGCAACACTGCCAGTCAGTAGGAAAGCTGACTTTATGAAGGCACCCTGGGGAAGACAATCAGGGAATTCTTTCATACGTGAAATCAACTCATTTGTTGTTTAACTTCAAGTTTTTGTGCCTCAGTTAGGCCTTACCTCATTTTTTAACGGAAAATTTTAAATGTTATAAAAATGTAGACAGAAAAGTAAAACTCTGTATGTTCCTGTCATTGCATCAGCACCTCCCCCTCATAGCCCACCTTCCTTCATCTCCACCCGGGCCGCCTTCCCCTCTTCCGGGTCAGATTGAGGGCCATCCCAGACATCACAGCACACGCCCCATAACACTGCAGCACTGGTCTCCGAGAGCTAAGGACTCGCAGGCCACAGTTTTATCATTATTCCTAGAAACATTAGCAATAATACCTTAATCAGCTGTCCAGCAAATTTCCAATTCCCTATTGTGTCATAAATGTCAGTTTCCCCCTGTAAGTTACGATCGGTTGATAAACCTCTTCAGTCTTAGTCTGTAGGTTCCCCGCTACCCTGTCTTTCTCTTTTGCACAAAACGTTTTTCGTTAGGCGTTCCTTCTGAATTAAATTCACAGCAGCGGCTCTTGGAGGCGTGAGGAAGCTGTGCCGTAACACTGGCTCATCCTGTGTCGTCGTGTGGAATGGCTGCTTCCCTCCCTGCGGAAGCCTGTTGGGTGGCCGAGAGGATTTGGGACGGACAGAGATGACACTGAAGGGCCAAGAATATTTCCTTGTCAGTCCAGGTTGCTGTGGCTCACTCTTTGCTGCTTCACATTTACTGTTTGATTCTCTTGCTGCTGGCCAGTCCTCTGACCTCGCTTCCTCCTTTCCGATGTCAGCATAGGCTCGTTACAGAGTTGCACCTTCTTACACTTGAGCAGGACCCAGTTTAGGTTCAGGGTGTCGACTGTTCTAGAAATGGATTTTCAGGAACATAGGAGTGGGTTTGTGTGTTTTCTCCAGAAAACCAAGAACTGATGGTAAATAGAAACATGGAAAAACCATTTCAGTTACTTGAGTCTTGGTGAAACCTCAGCCATTCATCCCCGTCAACCTCGCCAGGCAGCTTATCCAGCTGGTTCTGTCTCGTTCTCCTGTTAACTCGCCATCTTGGATCTGTTCTGCCAGAGCAACATAAAGCCCAGGGCTGAAGTTCTCAGAGAACCCCTCCTCCATCCTAAGACACATGGGAACATCTCTGGAATAAGACAGCAGTCTCAGGCACTTATGTAATAAAATACTTTATTAACTGGCTAAAATAAGCTTCACATACAGCTAAAGTGCAGTTTCTCTCTACATACAGAGCAGGCATTTCTCTCAGGCTTCCTTGGTGTGCTTATAAGCCAAGAGGGTAGAAGGGTTAAGGTTTAAGAAACACCTTATGGCAGCATACAAGTATGAAAATATTTTTCATAAAGGTCTGAATACCTAGCCCTTGGGGCCATTTCATACATCTTTTCACTTATTTTTCTTAATCTTTCACAAAACTCCTCTGTGCTGATTATACAATTAAATAACCACAGACACTTGCTACACTAGAATAGTGATCTCATTACTGTCAGGATCGGAATTCTCAAATCAGAGACAACACTTTTATGCATTCGCCGTCATTCAGACACGGACGAAGCGCAGGACAGTGTCAGGCGTCACGGGCTCCGTCACTGGAAGAGGAGCCCAGTGACTTGCGACCGTTCTGACTCAAAGTAGCAGCAGTTGTGTTGGCACCTGCGCCGTGTGAGAGAGAGAAGCTTCTTTCCACTTCCCTAGAGTGACAGCTTGGAAACTGGCCTGTCTGACACACAGCGCTTTCCAAGTTACTGGGAAAGCAAGGCCACCCCAAGGCAATCTATTCTGCTTCCCCGAAGGGACGCTGGACAGTACAATGGCTGTGGGAGGTGGGGGGTCAGGCCAGCCGGGATAAAACTGCATAACGAAAGGGACACATCCTGGCCGTGGTCAGAGGTTTTTACTTGGTTCAGTAGAAACTGGCACCCTGATTCATTATCAAAAATGCTTATTTGGTGTTGACATGGCATCTGTTTTCCCAGATGTGTTCTTTAACACATACCTAAAAGGGATGTTAGACTCAGTGGGGCTGAGGGCAGACTGCCCACTTGCACAGGACCTGATTTGCAGCATGATTTACTTGTTGGGTGACAAACCCAGAGGACTTTTAGATTAAAACCTCTGGTCTGAGTTGCTGCAAATGAAGTGCGAGAAACATCACAATATAAAAGAAAACCAGGCTGGCCTCTCCCCTAGTCTTAACTAGAAAAATATTCTTGATATGGAAAAATAACAGCCTCTGGTCCTAGAGTGTACAACTAACTATGGCTCAACGAATCTTCCTTGAAAGAAGCAAGGTATGTAGTAAGAAAGGTGGTCAACATTCATTCCCTATCTCGAAAGTTTGCTCCACCAGCAAGAATTAGTCACCACACTCATCTCTCGGGAGGGCAGCAGAAACCTCTAGAAAGCAAGCTTTCAGTCACTTCTCAAAGCTGGGACTGGGTTCTCCCCAGGAGTGCTGAGCTCCCGGGTGACGTCAGAGCTGCTCAGCCAGTTTCACAAAAAGGCTGCGAGGAGTTAGTCCTGCGGCTCCAGACGTCGTCACACAGCCCCTGGCCTCTCCCCCACCCGAGTGCAAATTCTGCTCCAGAACCTGTGTTCCCGTCACACGAGGGGCACTAAAGCCCCCAAGCCTGCTGGGACCACCACAAGAATAGGGGCCACCGGCACCGACAGTGGACACCACACATTTACAAGCTCAAAAGAAGAAAATAAATAACTTGGCTGAATCATAAGTTATCTTAGAGACAAGGCTTAATAATTTAGTTTTTTTTTTTTAACTAAAAAAACATTTGGAGGTAAAGAATGTTTACGTTCCTTATCCATCTCCTTTTGCTTTGGGAGACGACAGGGTTTCTAGAAATGCTAAGTTTCTTTGATTTTTTTTCCCCCTGGGACATCCCTTGTCACCAAGGGAGGACTTAAGAGTTAGGGCTTCACAGGCAGCGTCTCCTTGAAGCCAGAGTGGTTGGGTCTGGCCTCCGGCAGTGCCACCGGGTACTCCGTCGTGGCAAAGAGCAGGGTGTCCAGGGTGGTCTCCGTGCACTTGGCGATGAAGCGAATGAACGGCCTCACGTCGCCCTCATTGGCGACCTCCAGCACGTGGTAGTACTCGGATCTCTGCTCCTTGCGGATGGTGATGGGCGGGTAGCCCGCCTGCATCAGGATGAGGTTCATGAGCAGGCGTGAGGTCCTTCCGTTGCCGTCGATGAAAGGGTGTATGTAAACGAGTTTATAATGGGCCAAGGCTGCAAACTCCACCGGGTGCAGGTTCATGGCGTCCTCGGAGTTGAGCCACTGGATGAACTCCTGCATCTGCTTCTCCACATCCCGAGGATGCGGAGGGACGTGGTGGCCCACGAGGACCTGTGTTGTCCGAAACCTGCCGGCTTCCACCGGATCCACGTAGCCCAGCACCCGCCTGTGGATCTCCAGCACGTCGCTGAGGGTGACGGACCCGATGCGGGAGACCAGCGTCGTGTTGATGTACTTCATGGCTGCGTGCAGGCCGATGACCTCGTTCTGCTCCTCCAGGCTCTTCCCCGGCACGGCGTAGCGGGTCTCGAGGATGTGCCTGATTTCCGAGAGGGTCAGGGTGTTGCCCTCGATCGCGACCGTGTGGTAGATGTGATGGTAGTACGTTTCCTCCATGACCCTGCGCAGCGCGGAGTTGCCCTTGGGGATGGACATGACCTTCTTCACTTTGCTGTCGATGATGCTGAAGTACCTCTGGTCGATCTCCTCCACCAGCGGCAGCGTCCGGTCCCGGTTGACCAGCGCCTTCTCGTGGTAGGGCGAGATGGTCAGTGCTCTAGTGTATAAGTAATCCGCCTGGATGATGTCCTTGTCTTCTTCTGAGAAGATGCCAAACTCATTGAGCGCGTCTACGAAGTCCGGGTCCATCTTGAGGGCGTGCAAAAAGAGCTTGTGGGCTTTCTCCCGCTTGCCCTGGCGTTTCATTTCCAGGGCTTGGTTCAAAGCCGCTTTGGCTTCCAACTTTCCAGCTAGAAAAGAGGCAAGGAGGTGCTGTCAGGGAGGGCGGGGAGCGGCAGAGGACATTCAGGGGAGCTGTCACCTGTGCCTCGGGGGCTCGTGGCGCACATGCTCTCAGCATGCCCGGTGCCACTCTATATATATGGCCGCATTTATTCCCTCAGCCCCATGGGGCGGTATCCCGCTCGTTGTCCATTTGTCCCCAGAGCTGCTCTGTACCCTGGGAGGCATCCCCTGGCTCCTCAGCCCCCTGCCTTCCCACCATGAGTGGCTGTGTGCCTCTGCGGCCAGGGCCCCGTCCGGCAGCCATCCCTACCTCTTCTCCAGCTCCGAGCCAGTCCTGGTGATGCTGGTCCCTCCCCCGACCCGTGCCCCTTCAGGCCCAGGCTGTGAAGGCTCCTCACTTGTGCTAGGCCCTGGGGGCTTCCCTGTTCCTGGGCCGTCTTTAATTCTTTTAACCTAGTAGTTCTCAACCAGGGGCTGTTTTGCCCCCCAGGGAACATCTGGCAATGTCTGGGGACATGTCGGGTTGTCACAGTTGCGGTGGGATGCTACTGGCATCTAGTGCGTAGAGACCAGGGGTGCTGCTCAGCATCCTACGGCGGACAAGACGGCCCCACAGCAGAGAAGAGGGCCAAGGTGGAGAGGCCCTGCTCTACATCGAGCCCACCTTCCCCCGCCCCCACTGTGTGGCAGCCACACAGACTGGCTGCTTTTAGTTCCTCAAGGGCATCTTACCCTCAGGTCTCTCTGTCCGGAGCACTTTCCCCTCAGGCCTTTTCCCTTGGCCCCTCCTACTTACATTCAGCTCAGGCATCCCCTCCTCCAGGGAGCCTTCCTGGTGTGCTCCTACAGTCCTACGCTCCAACCCGGCCGTCCTCCCCTGCCCCCCCCCCCCCCCCCCCCCGGCCTGTGATGCTGTACCGGCCTTGGTGATGCTGTAGCTCAGTCAGCCACTGGGGGCTCAGGGCTGACTCGTTCACTGTCATACCCCTGTGCTCTGCACCCAGGACAAAAGGCAGCCTACATATTTATGGAATTAGCAAGCATTGAGGAGAGATGGCCAGTCGGTCTTACCCGGAGAGGCCTTGGTCTTGACCACCAGCAGTGCCGAGTCCCTGGAGGTGATACTGAGCTCCGTGGACGGGCTGGTGCACTTGGTGACGGCATGCTGTACCCTGTCCAGCTTGCTCCGGAGCAGGTAGAAGGCTTTGAGCACGGCCACGCACTGCTCCTCCACGGCCCCCAGCGGCAGCAGCAGGGCCAGCAGGGACCCCAGCGCCACGCTCAGCAGCAGCATCCACAGGAAGCGGCCCCACACGGAGACCCATTTTGGTTCAGTCACCGCCATCACGGAAGCCATCGGCATGAGTGTCATCTGGACTCAGGGGTGGGCCCCTGGCACATATCCACAGTCGCCTGAGAGAGAGCGGGGTCTGCGACCAACCAAGAGTTGTAGGAGGTGAGGCCTACATGGGACCGACACATCCAGGGTGTACTCGACTTCAGCTGGGGCTTGGAGGACCCCCTCCCATCCCACCCCCCTCTCCTTTAACTCCACTGACCAAGTGGTGGGGGCAAGGCAAGGAGTGGCTACAACTGGGAGGAGTCTGGAAGGACGGTGCCACCTCCAGGGCAGTGTGACTGTGTGACCAGCAATGCCAATGCCACCCAACACTTATTAAGCACTTCCTGTACTCAGCACCTCCTGCATACTCTCTTGCCATCTTCAACAGGAGCCGATGCTGTCGTCACCCCACTCTCCAGAGGAGGAAACAGGCTCACAGAGGTGAAGTCCCCTGTCCAGAGTCACCCCGTGAGCAAGGCACAGCCTTAGCCATGGCTTTGAAGTCTCCCCCCGTCCCCACAAATCTCTGTGGCCTCTGACCCCAATGCTAGGTGTCTGGGACACAGAACAAATGCGCACATAGCCAGATCAGCTAAGGCAGTTCTGACCCTGACTCATGGATACGCACAACAGTTCGGTGGCTTGGTTTATGGCCACATGGGTGGCCACCTCTCCCTGACAGCAGCCACACTGCCCAGCCCCTCTCTGGCCTTCCTTTCCTGGCCTGTGCGGCACGGATCTTGCATTGAGGTCAGCCAAACCGGCATCTCGAAAGGAACTTGGGCTGTGGGCCACACTGGGTGCCTGCCCTCTGTGACCACGGGCTTGGGGCTGGCCTGGGGAGTGGGGGTCAGGTATGCAAGCACCACTATGCTAACAATAAGCATTTATTGGGCAACGAGGGTGTGCTGAGGGCTAGCCGTGCAGTATGTCACTTAATCCTCACCACGCCCGGAAGGAAAGCTACCCCCAGCTCCATCTTACAGACAGGGAAACTAAGGCACAGAGAGGGTAAGTCAACTCCCAGAAAGCCCGCAGGGAATAAACGAAACTCTTGGGCGTCTGAGTCCAGAGTGCCCGCGTCTTAACCTCTACCTTCTGATTCGTAATCAGAACCCGCGCACCTGCTCCGCGATGCTGCTCCAAGACCCAGAAATGCCTGAGGAGGTCTGTGGTCACTGGGCCGGGGCTCTAAGCGGCTCGTTGATACAGAACATCCGAAACGGCCTGGAAGCGCTGTGATGGGGGTGCAGAAGAGGGCGCGGGTCCCCGCTTGCCTCAGGGGGCCCGGGCGGGCTCCCCGAGGGACAGGCTCCTCACGGGGCTCGAGTCCGCCGGGGACGCGGGTCCGCGCGGGGGAGGAAGCAGCGCGCGCCGGGAGGCGCGAATCTCTGACCTTTCACTTTGGGGGGAAACTGAGGCCCAGAGAAGCGAGGGGACTGGACAAATGTCCCTCTGAGGTCGGCCCTTTCCGAGCCCCGCCCAGGGATCGCCGCCCCGCCGCGCCTCCCTGCTCACTCCTTCCAAGCCCCTCGGGCTCGCCCCCCACTCACCGCGCGCCGCCGCCCCCTGCCCAGCGCTCAGCCGGCTCCCGGGACCTCCTCCGCCGCCGGCCTCCTGGCCCCGCCCCCGGCGACTCGCTATTGGTTGGCCCGCCATCCTCGTCGCTGCGGATTGGCTTCCCTCACTTGTCCGCCCCTCGCATTTCCGGGTTCCCGCGTCGGCCTCTGCTTCCCCGGGAAAGACGCGCCGTGGGCCACTCCCATTGGCTGGTTCCTGTTTGGTCTCGTGCCCGCACCAGCCAATAAGCAATGGGAGGGGCGGGGCCTGGGCGACAAGGCGGGAGCAGCGGGTGCGGGAAACCCTCGGTGGCTGCGGTTTTGGGGCGCGCTAGGTGCCTGGAGATTCGCACTTCTGCCCGCTGCAACGGCTGCCCTCCCCTCTGTCTCCTCGTCCCGGGGCCGCTCTCGCGCGCCTCAGTTGCCTTAGGTGTGAAATGAGGATGCTGACGGTTTACGCCTCTCCATCCTGTTGGTCTGACTTCACAGCCCTGCTCGTAGCCCCCACCCTGCGCCGCCAGGGCTGCGATCTTTCCCCTTTCTCTTACCTTCTCTCTCTCTCTTTCTCCCTGACTTTTTAATTTGCATCCTCTCGAGAAGGGCCTGGCTGGTTCTTTTGGCTTCCCAGAGAGAGAGAAGATTTTCCTTGAAGCAGAGATCGGAAGCTTTCATCTTAATCCATAAATATTGAAATTTAACATCCAGAGACGTGCCCAGGAATGGCAAGCATTAAGAAGTTAGCAGTACAGACTCTGGCGGTACAGAGACACCCAGGCTCAAATTCACACTCTGTCACCTAAGCTCTATGTGACCTTGGACAAGTAACTCTGAGCCTCAGTTTCCCCATCTGTAAAATGGGGACAAACAGCCTACCTCACTTTTGTCCTCAAGTTCAGGGTTTGCAGAAGGCCTGACGCCTCAAGATCTGACCTCCTCCATGACACACATGCCCCTTGGGGGCCAGTACCAGGCAGTGGCTGTGGGTGTCACCGCCGGAGCCACACCACCCTGGGTTCAAATCCTAGCTCTGCCACTTGCAGACTGAGTTACATTCAACAAGTGACTTGACTCGCTGATCCCCTTTTTGCTTTTCTGTGAGATGGGGGTAATGTGATGACAGTTCCTCCTCATAGGGTTTTGTGTGAGGGCAAGCGAAATCCCACACGTCTGGCACAGAGCAAACACCAGGTCAGTGTCAGCTGTTGCAATGATTCCTAGGAAAGACACCAAGTCATTGCTGCTTTATCTGTTACCTGCAGAAGCAACTGTCAGAGCTGCAGGCTGCTCCAACCGCTGGGGAGAGACCCAACGCCCTCTCATAGGTCTCAGTCTAATTCCAGTCTAGGGAGGCCAACGACACACAGCACAAAGTGAAGTGTCCAGGCCCAGGCCGAGGGGTGCTGTCATGAAGGACACCATGGGGGGACCTTGCAAGGGAAGGGGTCAAACAACTTCGGTCCTTGCCCGTTGGGCCCCCTGTTTATACTTGTAACTGGCCCCCGTTCCTCCAACTCCCAGCCGTTGGCGTGGAGCGTGGCTCTTAGGGGATGGTTGAGAAATTTTGTTGACTTGAATTGAATAAGAAATATTCGAAGCAGGACAAACCATGGAGTTTTTAAGAAAGAAGATCAGGATGCTGGTTATTTCTAGGGGACGTTGTTCTCTTGGGGTCCCCTGAACTTCACTTCTGATAGCCACAGCAGTGACGTTGTAAAACCCTGCTCCAGAGGAAGCCCTGCTATGCAGCCAGCTAATTACGGGGCATGGTTGGTAGAGTGGAAAGCAGTGGGGCTCTGGGGTCAGACGACATGTGTTCAAATGCAGGGCCCATCACTTGCTGGCTGGGTGACCTTGAGCTAGTCACCTCCCCTCACTGAACTGTCATGGGGCTTGTGGACCTCTGTGCCTTCCCAGGCGTAAGGCGATGTAATCATATGCTTTCAAAGACACCATCCTCCTTCCACTCCTTGAGATGCCAGTGGCATCTCTTTAATGAGCGTAGGTCACCAGCAAATCCAGAAGCTACACAAGAAGCATTAGTGAGTAAAACTGCCTGAGTGTGAGACAGTAGGGAGAGGTGGGGAGTGTGGAGTATGTGAGATCCCCTGCCTTGTCCACAGTGGGCAGCGGCTTCTCAGCTAGAGCCTACATTTGTGATGCTGGGGTGCAGGCCAAAAGTTGACAGATTTTCCAATTTTTCCATAGAAATGTCAGGTCTAGATTTTTAAGCAAAATCTCCAGATTTTTAAACAATTGGTATGTCTGCCCGCTGGCTACAGAGGGCTGCCAGATTGTAATCTCTGTTTTAGGCTTTTAAAATGGGTGGGAGATGGTGGCCGGCAACCTAGGAAGAAATACTACAAATGCCTCTGCAAATGATCACACCACTGTCTGTAGACACCAGGGGGCAGTAATTCACCTGGCATCTCTTCCTCCATTCAGATCCCTTGGCCGAGATTAAACTCAATCTTCTTGCTTGACGGGGTCTACATTCAGCTGTGTTGGATGCAAAAAAATATGTCCCCAAAGCGATATTGAAAACTTGGCTTTCTCTGCCTTAAACATTCTGTTTTGGGTGAAAATTGCCTCCCCGTGGGCCCCAGAGGAATTTTCTAAAAGCTTACCTTGACACTTGACAAAGAACCTGGAAAGTGGCTGCCTGGGAAATGTGTCCGTTATGCAAAACAAAACAAAACAAACCTTGTGCATCTTTAAGAAAGAGCAGTCAAGTGCTTCTTGCTGGCAGAGTTGGATCCTACTGCTTAGGAACACAAAACTCCCCAACTTGAGGCTATGGTGCGTTGAGATGACTCCAGAATGACTGGACTTTGTTTAAAAGGAAATAGACCACGTTTCTCGCCCCGCCGCCCAGTTCCTCTCATTTCCCAGGCTGCTTGGAGTTTTTTTCTCCTTCTGACTTAACTGCTGATGAATCCTCCTTATTGTGTGTACCCAGTGGGATCAGGCCCAGTTTCTGAGGCATCCCCAAGGGACAGAGTTTTGGGGACCCCGTGTGGGTGTCCCTGGGCTGATGGCTCATGCTCTGGACTCACGATGTTCCTCATGTCACACGGCGTGGAATTGATTTTCACCAATCTATTGGATCTCAGACATGCAAATAAGTGTTGTTTTCAGAGGAAGTCCTTTGGGGAAGCCGTATTTCTTACTTTCAAAAAATTTAAAAGAACTGCTTTTTAAAAATGAAATAATCAACTACTTTATTTCTTAAAGGCAAAATGGATCATTATAGATATGATAGAAGGCACAAATAAGCAAGAAAAAAAATACCTGTGCACAATTGTACTAGATATTTTTTTATGCACATCTATTTTTAAATTGTGAAATATTTCAGACATCCAGAAGGCGTAGATAATACAATGGGTACCTGTGTGCCTGCCACCCAGTTTAAGAAATGCCGTATCACCAATGCACAGAAGGCCCATGGCATTCTCTTCCCCCATCACATTCCCTTCCCCCTCCCGGAGGGTGCCACCATCTTGAATTTGACGTTCATCGTACCCATGAATGGCTTCTTGTTTTATGTATCTGTTCCTAAATAATATATAGTGATGTTCTGTGTGTTTCTCCATGTTCCATTTACTCTGCGTATCCTTCTGCATTTTTTTTGTTTTGGTTCAGCACTGTATTTTACTGATTTATATTCATCTTGATACGTGGAGTTCTGGTTCCTTAATTTTACACTGCTGCGTACTATTCCATTTACAGTTTATTTACCATTTATCTGTGGATGGGCATTGGGCTTGTTTCCAGTCATCCCCTGCTATAAACAGCGCTGCAGTGAAATTCTTGCAGGGTTTTTTGGCACCTGTGTGGAATTTCCTCCAGGGCAGTTTCTCAAACAATCATCTGGGGAGGTTTTAAAAAAATACACACACCTGAGCCAGCTCCAAACCAGTAAAATCCTCCAGCCTCTCTGTAGCTTAGCTGTAGGTGGAAAAAATTGCATTTGCCATGCTATCTTGTTATTGGTAGTGGTAAAGACCGTTTATTAAGCACTTCCTGTGTACTAAGTAGTTTATATCTATTATTTTGTTGGATTTTGGTAACAATGCCGTGTAGTAGATATTACCAAACCCACTTTATGGAAGGTGAAACTGAGGCTCAGAGAAGTTAAGTAAGTAGCCCAAGGTCACGCAGCAAGCAACTGGCAGAGCCAGGGTTCAGAACCAGTCTTCCTGACTCAAAACTTATGGTTTTAACCAGTATGAGGCACTATGACTTCAGAGCAGACAGGTTACACTTTAACTCTTTAATTTTACAGATGGGGAAACTGAGGCTGTTAGAGGGAAGGACACACCCCGGACACAGATCCATGTCTCTAGACTCCCTGTCCATCAACACAGCACTTCCTTATCTAAAAATAGTTTGGGGAAAGGAGCACGGAGGGAAAAATCTTAATAAAGCTATCTTTTCCTCTCAAGACAATTCTGGCTGTCCTGGGGGCATCTGGATGCACTCTGCATCAGTTATCCATTGCTTTGTAACAAATAACTCCAAAATGTGGCAGCTTAACACGACAATAAGCATTTATTATCTTACACAGTTTGCGCGTGTCAAGAATCCGGGAGCAGCTTAGCTGGGTGGTTCTGACTCCAGGTCTCTTGAGGTTGCAGCCGTGATGCCGGCCGGGGCTGTGGTCATCCGAAGGCTTGACTGCACTGAGGAGCCGTTTCCGAGGTGGCTCACTCACGTGCTGGTGAGCTGGCGCCGGCTGGAGGCCAGGGCCTGCCGTCCCCCTCCATGTGGGTCTCTCCATGGGGCTGCTTGAGCTTCCCCCAGCGTGACTGCTCCAAGAGCATGATTGTCTTATGTCCTAGCTTTGGAAGTCACACGCTGTCACCTCTGCTGGACCGTATGGGTCACAACACAGGCCAACCTTGGTACAAGGTGGGAGGGGACTACCTAAGTTTCACCAGGAGGTGAAGATCTTTGGGGGCCCTCAGGAAGGCTGCATACCCTACACCCCCTGCACGTGCCCCTCCTCTGTCTCAGTGGTTCTGCCCAACAGCATGGACTTTAGGCCCCTTTTGACTTCATGCGGCCGAGTCTTTGGGGAAAGACAGGAAGCTTCTGCAGG